AACTGTCAGGTGCTTGCAGTTCCGCGAGAGTCTTGGCCTGCGCAAGAAGTACTCCGCATCCGTGTCACCGGCGAGAGCTTCTTGTACCGCATGGTGCGTTACCTGGTCTACGCACTGGTCCTCATCGGCCGAGGGGAGTTGATGCTGAGGAACTTGGAGCGAGTGCTTGTGGGATCTTATCGTGGTTGGCATCGCCGGAGGCTTCATTTGAAGCCTGCACCCTCGCACGGCTTGAGGCTGGCAGAGTTGCAACTGGACCCGGATGTCTGACTGTCGCAGGTCCAGGGCGCCAAAGAAACGGGTGGCGTAACGTTGGTGGCTCCAACGTTGGAGCGAATTTCGAGCAGTCCGTTGAAAGATGCTGTTCATTAATGGAGCCGAGTGAAGCTGCCAAGTGATGCTTCTTTTGCGCAACCAACAGGGAACCACGCAACTTGACTGTACATTGCAGAGAAAGCTTTCACACGCTGACGCAAGATTTGACTGCGCCAGCCAGCGTGAGAAATGGGTGTGTGAGGTGGGGTCAATCACTTTTGGATACTTTTATATTTTTGGCCCTGGCCATGGTTAGGTTCTTTCCTTGCCGGTCCTTGCCTTTGTTTTGCCATTCCTATACAGGGTCAGGTCTTTGTGCGGTTTGGGTCCCGAATTTGTCCTTGTTTGAATCGATTGGCTGTGTGGTTCCCAAAGAGTAGTATGGGCTATGTGGCCATGTGGTACGCAACATGAGGCTTGTAGGGGTGGAACACCAGACACAGTGACTGTAGTGACATGGTTTTTCTTGGTGACCTGTAGGGAGATGGAGTGTTTTGCTTATTCAGTTCCACACACACCGTTTTTGGGTATAGTGACTTAGTGTGCAGCCGAAAAGACCGCAGCCTTACAAGATCAGAAGGTGTTGAGCCGTGAAGCGGTCAGAGACAGAGGGGGATCTCGGCCGACCTGAAGTGAGGGCCGTCCCATTTCGGTCGGTAACGGTCGGTTGCAACCTTGGCCCGCCACAGGGCCACAGGGAATGGGATATGCCTTTTTTCAATGTCTCTTTACTTTAAGCTCTGGGTTGTAGCCAAGAAACCTCCAATGGTTCAGCTAGTCTCACTTTTTAATACTGTTTATATAGGTGTTAAAAGGGTCTTTGGAACCATTGTTTGCCATTGGTTGCCTACTGTAGCTGGGATTGCTCCATGTTGTTTTTGGTTTTCCCATGATTAGGGATCTACGTTCAGGGAACAGGGAACGTAGAGGGAATATGCCGTTTGTTATGCGCATAAAAGATAACGACTGGATACCATTGTTACAATTGACCTTGGGAGCTGCTCGTTAAAATGACTTCGCTCGTGTCAATGGCTCAAACCGAATCCGGCTCGATGTCGAGTAGCCACGAGGCAGCGTGTTTGGTGTTCTGAATCCCTTCAGGTGGGTTGAGCGAGGTCTAGGACTCTAGGATCGTGCTAAAGCTTTGTGCACCAAGAGAAGTGGGTACTATAGGTGTAGGGCGCCTGGAGAGAGCAGGAGGCCGCAGTGAGAGAGCATGTGAGAGCATCTCTACCAAAACCACCTTGCACTCTAAGAAGAGAAGCGCTTCTGACTCTTCTTGTACTATCTTGTACTGTTGTCACTAGAACTGACAACGATTGAGACCAATTCAAATCAACATTGGGCACCAACAGTACGTTCCTGTATGCCGTTTTGATATGTACACTTCCGTGGACTCAGGCCATCGTTTGGTGAAGTGGTCTCCCAAGCCAGCGCAAAAACCGATCCACTGGAAGAAAGTAAGTCACCTGGGGTGATGGCTGTATCAAAAAAAGGACCACGCTTCGTTCCGCGTGGGATTGATGGACACCAGTGGGCGTGTGTTTCCTCGTGATCTCCCGCTACAGGCGCCCCAGCCCCATGTGAGCCGGAGACTTCGGCATCCTTCCGCTCCGACGCCCAACGCCAGGCCATGGAGGGCGAGAAGAAGCCGTCGGAGACGTCAGACAAGCTGGATATGAAGATCTGGAAAAAGGGGAAAAAGGTGAAAAGCAGCAAAAGGGAGCTAATTGTGGGTGTGAGCTCACGACCTAAGATCATGTTCTGAATTCTGGCCATATGTCACTGCTTCCAAGACTCTGGGAAGAGAGAAGGATTGAAAAAGTGTTGAATCAGAGTCACTGCGTTGGTTTTCAAAGGTCACATACTAGTTTGGGCCTGTAAATGGCTCAGTGACACTCCAGAAGTCACCTTGACACGTGTCGATATGAAAGCGTCGTGAAGGTGGCGGTTGGTTGAATTACCCGGGTCTCGGCTTCGCTTTCCGGTGCGGTGTGCGACGAGACGCGTGACTCAGCGTGACTGGTTTGAAGATTGGGATGGAGGTCAGGTTGCACTCACCTCATTGGACCCTTGGAGGTCACCCAACATTTGGTGTTCCACTCTGCTGTGGGGCTGGTGTTCCACCCAATGATTCTTCCGGATGAGGTCCAGATGGCGGCGCGACCGCCGCGAGGTGTTGGATGGGGAGGGTGGGACCAGTGAGAAATGATACAGATCCAGTAGATCCCCAGACCCAGACACTCCATGCATGGCATATTGCATGCAGAATAATCCTGTCCACCTATTAAAAAACATGCGGGTCCCCCCCCCCATATTAAGAGAAACTCGGTCGCATTTTTTTAAATAGGGGGTCCCTGAAATTGGGGGGGTCGAAAATAGGGTCACCTGGGAAGAGCTTCGAAACCAACAAGTCATCCAGAAAAAATCTATATAAAATCCTTTATTAAACTCGTATCAAACATTCAAAAAACCTCCAGATCGAGGGGTCTTCCTTTTCCCCTACAAAAAACTTTATTGGAATACGGATTCTTCATCAGAATAACAACCAAAGCTTTCGAAAGGTGATGTCGCTGTGCCATGCGGTTTTGCACGACCTCGGTGGGAAGTGCATTTGCGTGAGTCCGTGCCATTGGAGGAAGGAAAACCTGCTGGTGTAAACGCCACGTGTCATGGTGGATACACAGGGCGGACAGATGTGGGCAGTTACGGTTGTTTTTGGAACCTAATAAAGGAAACTACCCCCAAAATCAACCATGTTGGCAGCTTAGTAGCGGCTTGAAAGGGCGGTAATTTAAAAACAAATATAAGCCGAACTTAGGGTTTCGGACGTGGTGTTCTTTATAACTGGGCAGGCTTTTTTAATAGGTACTCGGGACTATAATATATACAATATATAATTGAAAGTTTTGTTTATATATCTATATATTCAGACTTTTAGGATATAGTGAACGTGTGCATGTATGATTGTGTATATGTGAATATTTGCCAGACGTGGAGTGTTTGGGATCAGGCTTCCAGAGAAAGGTCTTTGGAGTTATGTAAGGACATCCTCAGGACGCTCCTACCCTTAGGGACTGTTGAAAGAAGAACTGCTGGTTGTCCCTACCTCAACCGGTGCAGGATTTGTCCCAGCTGCTCGAACTTTTTCCAGCCCTCTACCTCGTTTTACTAGATGTTTTGTGGCTCAAACGGCGAAGAAACATTCAGTTGTTTGTTGCTGTGCGCCGGTAACGGTGGATGATTCCTACGTCTTGGACCATTGGAGTTCAAAGGTTCAGCTCACGTCGACGAGAATCCCGCCAGACAAAGGTCCATCAGTCGGACGAATCTGTACCATGTTGCGTAGCCTCAACTTGGAAGGGCATGCTGGGTACCCCTTTTGGTACCAGGAATGCTCCAGCTGGGTCTAAGACCTAAGCGACGGTGTTCTTTGAGTTCTTGTTGACCTGGGAGACATTCAGGTCTAGCATGCCTCCATCACTGGCAAATGACAAATCAATCTTGAACTGATCTTGGGTACCTCCAAACTCCATGGACCCGACAACATGCCGAATTTGATTGGGATAGCATCCGCAGCTCTCTAATGGCGAGGCACGGATTTGAAGAGAAGGATTGTCCTATAAATGGAATCTCTGACCCTTAAGCCCCCATCCCATTTTCTTATGGATGTGTCAAGCGTATAATACTCCTTTGAGACACCTCCCGTGGTCGCAGAAAACAACCCATCTACATCCTGTCCACGAAATTCACAAACCGTTCACTTCGAACTTGGACCTATTGCAAACGATCCCATGAACTCTGGAAAAGGCCTACAGGCTACAACCTACACCTAGATGCTAACCTAGCCTTCTCTTCGCATAGGCTGGACGACTCTGAACGTGCCACCTGGCGCCCTGCGTCAGGTCGCTCCGGTCAAAGACGAGGCCCCCACGGCGGGTAGCGCTCTCTGCGTGGAGCCTCGAGCGGGGACAGAGCTGAGCAAGGCGATGAACGATGCACAGCGATGGTGTGTGTTTGGTTTTAGGAGACTGGGAACATGTTTTCACATCAGTTGACATCAATGCTGTTTCAGTTTTGACAGAAGTGAAACCATTTAGACATCTTACAGCGGGACATAGCAGGACGACTTTTTGGGGGGGGCCGGAATGGCGAGATGCCCAGATTTTGCCAAAGTTGGGAACGTGCAAAAATCATGCGGCAGAAGGGCCAAACCATGCCAAAACCGAATCAGCCATGCGTCGTGTTCTCCACTCCAGCCGAAAGCGTGGGGAAACCCACCGAACAGATCGCTCCTCGCGGGTTCCTCAGATCGGAGGCCGTTTCGACCATGTGCTTTCGGGTCCGGGTCCAAATGAATATAAATGTAGTTGTGGATGTTGTGGGTTGCAGGGTAGAGGCATCCACCTTTGGAATCTTTCTACACTCCGTCTTGGTGTGCATGCAATACCCTACCCCCCTGGACACTGACATGGAATTTGAAAATTAAACCGTTGTTTCGACATGTTTCGACCATTTTCCTCTACAACCCACGGGTTTTGGGGGTCCATGTGGTCCTTTGCAGGGGAGAAAACATTATGAGCGGGTTGATGCACATGCAGCGAGGAGGGGATTGCTGAAGGAAGGACAATTCTGCGCACTTGGCACAGAGGAGAAGCCCCTAATTCAGCGGCGGGGTGGCGCCCATGAGCTCTGCGCCCAGCAACCTTTGTGTATGCCACTTGGAGGAGAAAGAATCAGGTACTGCTGCTGGGAGTGTCACTGTTCAAGGTCAATGACCACCATATTGTTTGATATTGCTTGTATTGTGTTCTTGTGTTCTTGCAGCGGAGACCAAGAGAACCACGGCGGCTTCAGTTTAGTGATCTGACGTTTATTTGATGAACACTTCTTCTTATATGGGGTCATCAAAGCCCCACCCCAATCCTCAGATTCATGCACCAGGTCCTGAAGTCTTCGTGCTCATATGGGTGTATGAAACTAGGGAGAGCGACCCCTCTTTGACATTCTTTGACCCCGTGGAAGAAGGGAAATAGACCGGTCTATCTATTGGGCCAGGCCGTCTCCCTCGTAAAACACACGCCTTTTGGTTGTTTCTTCATGTGTCTTCTAAGTGTGCGTGTTGAGTATGCACCGTTCTTTTGAGAATTGGATTGGATAAGATACTGCTACGAACCGAGACTGGACCAGTCTTAGACTAGCGCTTGCTAATTTCATAAGATGCACCACACCGGAAACCGAAACGTCATTGAACCCTGCAGGGTTCGAGGCCTCCAGGTGGTTGTTTCGATGCTTCCAGGTGAGTACTGCAAGAATGAAAACTTCACACATCAAGCAGGGAGGAAAAGATGCTTCTCTCGTCTTCCAAGTTGAGATGCATCAGATCTCCATCCAAAGATTCACCAGTCCCCTGCAGTTGTTGCCTGTCAGGTGGGCAGTGCCAGCCCCAATGGTTCTTGAATGCATGGGTGTGCCCTTTCCGCTACCGTCGCCAACAAACACAACGATGGCTTGAGCCTGTGCCTGGGCGGGTCAAAAGCTCGATGAGTCTACTCCTCGCACGTCTCCCTTTTCACTCACATGGCAGTAGAAAACTTCCCTTTGTTTTCCACTGCTTCCACGCCATGGCATGAAAACAACTCACATGGTGAAACAAAAAAAAGGGTCTTTCAAGGTTCGCCATCTACTTCCATGGACCCATCCATGTGAGAGTGTCAAACCCGTGGACCCTTTTACGACCAACCGGGTCGACCCGGGGCGACGGGAGGACGGGAGGACGGTTGCTTCGCCGGGGGGTGAAAACTCTTCCGTTCGAGTTTACTTGTCCGTCCCTCGGGTTCGTTGTTTGAAACTAGTGGCTATACACAAAGGCAGGAATTTGGTTTGGAACATGTTATCGACCAGCACCGAATGATATGCAGGAACCATTTTTGCAAGAGGAATGAAGTGAGTATCCCTATGGCCCATCGTGCGACATCGTGCATCCTTGTAAAGATGGTCCTTGCTCAAGAAGTAGAGTCATCATCTGGCTGTGGGTGCATGATCCCTGCCTTCTGCCAGAATGACAAGCGGCCCCCAGTGATACCTCTCAAGACAGGTCCGTCTTGGTCAAGCAGCTCGACTTAGTCGACCCGTGTCCAACCTCTCAAGCTGTGGCAGCCAAAACCTGTGGTTTCTTTGGTGTAAAACATGGCTGTGTATTCATAGGGAGACACAGTGAAACACCCAACTAACAGGTTTTGGTCTATTTCCCTTCTTCCATGTGTCTTTTGGATGTCTCCCTATTTGAATACCCCTTTGGACACCCGGAGTCACAGGTGTGGTGACTCGCTCAGGTTGTGCAGGTTGGCAGCCACGACTGTTAGAAGACATGTAGTGGGCCCATGTGGGCCCCTCTGGTTTGATTCATAGTAGCATATTACAATAGTTGTTTTTGATGTGTATAGTAACATAGTATATGCCAATGGAAGTGCACTAGGAGCAGTACAGTATAACATGTCAACAGTGCACAACATAACAAGCTTCAACGACTCAACGACCACCAAATCCCCTTTGGCTCAAGCGCCCATTTGAGGAAAAAGCGCGCAGCATCCTTCGCGTGGACGCGGAGGTGACTAACTGTTGTTTCACTGTAAGTTGTTGGTTAACACCCACACGCAGGCTAACACGCAGACGTAGTATATGTATATATATATATATAGGAGTAGCGGTAGCGTCCGTGCTCCTAGTAGCGATGCCCTTTGTTCTTAGTAGCTTCTTGTTCCTAGTAGTAAGGCCAGGAGCTAGTGCTGGCTGCTAGTAGCGATGCCCTTTGTTACTAGTAGCTTCTTTGATTTTTCATAAATATATATATATATATATACAAATATATAACTAATCATATGTGTATATATCACCAAGCGCAACCGGTCTCCACACGGAAAAGTGTGGCCGGTCATGTGCCAGGCCGCTGACCTAGACACTACAGAACCCCAGAGTGAAAAGAGGGGGAGAAGAACCTCCCAACATGCACGGGAAAGCAAACTAAAGGACAGGGATCTTCCAAGAGGCAAGCGTTCGGCCTGCACCAAGTGCAAATAGACGTGCCAATTGCATAAGGGCCACGTCGTCAATTAACACAGCCGCTCCTTTGATCGACCCTTGCGGCAAGGTTTTCCCTGCCGCCTTGGCAAGGGCGGTACAAAGAGTGCCTGGAAAGGCCTGTGCATCTGCACACCTAGCAAAAATGCCAATCGCTTTGCGAAGGCGGGCATGAAGGTCAAAGTAAGTGGCAAGTTGAGGATCACATTCAAATTTCCAACCTCCTCGATGGAAGAGGACCGTGAGCTCAGCAATAGACGTGACAGCTTCATCATCAATCTTCCATCGCAACGAGCGGAGGAACCTACAAACAACATTCCACTCAGCCAAAGTACCATTCCAATTTGCTGGCTGTGCATAGCCAGTTGGGATCTTCGGTTTCCAGGGAAATTGAGCCGCCACGCTGCGCCATGGCCAGTGAGGGAACAGCTTAAGACATGCCTCTTGGTCAAGGTCCTCCGGGGCACCACTGGTTTCCTCAGCACAATGGTCAGCATCAGTAGGAAGGAGAGCATGGAGTTGCGCAAGCCAACGCTGGTGTGCTAAGATGCATCGCTCGGCTTCATGTTGTACATGAACACGGACAGGTGACAGCGAGGCCGCGTATTCCTTGGCGACAAGGTCAGCTTTTCGATTTCGTTCAATGTGTCGAACTGAGGTATGGCGTGATTGAGCCATTTGATCAAATATAGCCTCGATAGGAAGCTGCTCAAAGCAGTGGGCTGGAATCCACTGCACCGCAAATGGGTGAGGATGCTGCTGTTGCCGGTAAAGTGTAAGCTTGGCCAAAAATCTCCACCAGTCTTGGCAGAGCCAGCTCTCATCAGCGATTCCAGTCACAAAAACCTGGCTAGCATGCTCAACAACACTTTTGCAGTCGCAGAAGATCTGAACACAATGCTCACTGTGCAGGCACGCTTGAAGGAGGCCCCAAAGTTCGGCGACATAGGAATTGAGGCATGGGTAACTCACCAAGCCTTTGGCAACCACTTGCAAGTCAGGGCCAACAACTGCAAACGTGGCAGTAGTGATCCAGAATTTCTCACTCCAAAGGACAGAGCCATCTGTCCATAGTTCAGAGTTGCAGGATGGATCGAATGCTGGAAAGGTAGTTGGTGCTCTAGTAAGTACAAGCCTGCGGCGGGCAAGGAAGAATGGCTGCTCAACAATACCCGTAAGGCCAAAGTTGCTCCCGAGCTCATGCAGAACAGGTGGACCAAGGATTGCATGGAGAGGTTTGCATTCGTGCACCAAATGCTCCAGGCATTCCTTAGCTTGGTGGCAGAAACGGCACAAACTAGATTGCGACCATCCTGCGGCGGCAAGGCGATCATTGGTGAGTACACAGCCTACCACAGTGGACTGAAAACGAAGCTGGATTGGAATGTCATTTAGGCTCTCTTTATGTTGTGAGCGAAGCAGGGCTGTAGTGCTCCAATGATTAAGGAGACCTTGGGGCTTAGCAAAGTCCTTCCTTGTACGAAAATCAACGCTCTCATACGCTGCTTGCCTAGCAAGTTGTTTGAGGAGGGGACTAATCTCACGGGGTTGGAGGTGTCGCAGAGGCAACCCGGGGGACCCACGAAATGACAGTTCTGCGTCAGCAGTGATATCAACATGCAATACTTCACACGCTGCACGTACCCGAGACCACAAGGAGTGTGGCAGGTGGTGGGAAGCCTCGAAGGTGGAGTGAAGCAGTGGAAGCATGTGTGGGCTTCGTTGACAACAGCGCACAAACTCTTGGATCGTCGCAACAGCACAAGCAATTACCGGATCTGTGCGGTGAGGTTGCCCAAGAATGGCCTGGACCAGCCACTTGGCCCTCCATTTTGGTTTGCCTGCCCATAAAGCACGGATAACCGCACTCTGCATTTGAGACATCTCTTTCTTGGGAACCTGGGAAATGTGTGTCCCAAACGTAAGCCTAGCAATCGCTTTAGACCCAATGAGCAAGTTTTTGACATGCATCGGGATTGCCAAGGCGCCAATGTGGGCAACGTCTGCAATGATCCTTTTGAACCGTGCAGGGTCAAAGTGAAAGGCTTTGCGATGGCTGGTATACATCTGGGTCCCAAGCACCTCAAACTCAAGTTCAATTGGGAACAGGGGAAAAGAAGCTTTCAGAGCAACTCGACCTTTGGCATGTGAAGACCACATGGCAGACTTGGTGGGGTTGAACAGTTGTCCTACCAACTGGTCCCAGAGTTCAGTAATGCGAATGGCCTCATCAAGTGCTGTTAAGTTAATGAGTTTACACCAAATGTAAGAATCATCGACAAACGCGCGAGCGGACAAAGACGGCAAGTGCTCAAGCAAATGATACCAGACTTTGTTGTACATGTTCATTGCAAGAAGAGACAAACTGCAGCCCTGCGCTACACCATTAGAGGCGGTCGTGGCCGTAGGACGAGCCCACCCACGATAGGTGAGATGCCGGTGCAGCCCTTGATACATTTTTAGAAAAAAGTTGACAAAATGCTTCGGGGCCCCAAATGCGAGAAGTGGTGGTGTGCGTGACCGTTACATGGCATCCCTCTACAATGAGGTGCGCCTGCAGATTGTTGTTGCACAAGTTTCTTCAGAGCCCATCATTGGTGTCAAGTTGGATAAATCATATGTGTATATATATATATACTTCTTTCATTGCTCCAGCTCACCACATTAGACGATGAACATGTTTGTTTTGAATGCGCTATGATGGGGAACCGCTCGCCATGTGTTGCGCAGATGGGTGGGTGAGGTCATGCGGAGCGAGGACTACAAACTCGGTGTTGAGAGCGGTCATTTTGATGCTAACGGGATGGCGAGAGGGAGCGACTGCATGTGGACTGCTTGATTTGAGCCAATGCGGATGGCCACGGGCACAAAAGAACATCGCAATTACTTCACTTTGAGTGATCCCCACCATGACATTTCGACTGACATTTCAATCTGACTCTTTTTTCGGCATGTATTGAAACGCTGTTTTAGCATTCTTTCTGGCATATCTTCTGACAGTCTTTCTAGAATATTTTCTGACATTTTTTCTGGCATATTTTCTGACATTATTTCTGGCATATCTATCTGACATTCTTTCTGGCATACCCTTTGACTTTTGACATTCTTTCTGGCATACCTTTTGACACTTGACATTCTTTCTGGCATACCTTCTGACTTTTGACATTCTATCTGGCATTCATTCTGGCTTTTCTTGTGACATTCTTTTATATATTTTTGGACATTCTTTCTGCTATATCTTCTGACACTCTTTCGTCTATATCTTCTGACATTCTTCCGGACATATTCTGACATTATTTCTGACATTCTGTCTGGCATACCTTCTGACTTTCTTTCTGACATTATTTCTGGCATATCTTCAGATATTCTTTCTGATCATTCTATCTGGCATCTCTTTTTGACATTGATTCTGGCATATCTTTTGACATTGTTTCTGACATTCTACCTGGCATGTCTTCTGGCATTTTTTCTGGCGTTCTATCTGGCATATCTTCTGACTCGCGGTTGAGGTCTGGCGGGGAACACTGCCGTCCGGAACTGGCGGTCGAGGTCCGGCGTGGAACACAGCCGTCGGGAGCTGGTGGTTCAGGTCCGGCCGGGAACACTGCCGTCGGGAGCTGCCGGTTGAGGTCCGGCCGGGAGCACTGGCGTAGGAGGAGGAGGAAGGAGAGCGCGATGTAACTGACACTGAAATCTACAACCCTCACCTGACAGGTGCGGAACAAACAGACAAACAATCAAACGGTGTTTAAGCAATTGACCCTTTCAATCGTTCTGTAACAATATGTTCCACGCGTGTGGTTTCGTGACCCTCCTACTTGCACCGGCCGATTGAAGAAACCCACGGTCACTAATTGAAGTAAAGCCCCCCGACATCGGCCAACGCCATGTGGGCCTGATCGCCAGGGGTCTTCCTGCCCCACCAAGCCAAGGACCCTTGGGCACGTGCCTCCTGGAACCGGAGGAACGAGCGAGGCGAACGCGAGGACGCCTGGAACGAGCGCAGCGAGCGTGAGGAGTCCTGGAGAGCCCGAGGTGTCGGTGAGCGAAATGCTGGCTCGAGCCGCTTGGAACAAGTGGGGAGAATAAATGAATACATTACTTTAAATCACAAGTACAGAAACATAGAAATGTGAGCAAGGTCCGGTATGTTTTATGCTGGTAATGATTTGAGGAAATTGTTGTCGTTTGCAATGTCTTTGTTTGGACAAAGGTGTGAAAGGAAATATTTGGCAACTGTCCGAGTTAAGTCGTGTAGAACATTACAATACCCTTTGTCTGTTTATATGATTGAGTCACATTCAATGATCAATATATGGGTGCACATGTTATCGCCATGGTTTTGCTTTGTTGGTAACAGCTACATTATTTACCAGTTCAGATCGTGGTGGTGTTGTTTTTTGGTGCCTGTCTGATGGCAATTCAGAAACATCAAAACAAAGGTGATCAAGGCTAGGATATTTTCTTGCACATGTAAATATTGTTTTTTTTGGTGTTTGTTTGTTTGTTGTTAATAGGTTGTTAGTTTGTATTGTTTTGTTGGCCATGCCGTACCAGAGAGCATAGCTGCGCATGGCGATTTGGAAATCATACACTCCAGTAACAGCCCACACCAACTTCTCGCTCTGGCGGTGGAGGCATGTGGCCCAACCGAGACAACGGCGGCTGGGGAGAAGAGAGGACCCTGACCTGGCAAGAGGACCGGCCTTACAGAGACCGAAGACCCTACAATCGCCGGAGGGGCGGACAGGTGCCGCCAGGCCGGATCCGCGCGCTGGTGAAGCGGAAACATGTATACATCACTTAAAAAACACTTACATACACGTACTGTATAGGTGTTTGGCGGAAAAAGATGGACACTAAATGGACACCCATAGTCAGACAAGAAAGGAGCCAGAATTCAAGCGGTTCGCGGTTTGCTCAGTTCCCTCTTTCCAAATTGTAATTTGCAGTAGGGTTAGCATAGATTTTTCTCCACTGCAGACCGCTTCGAGTGGTGTGTGGACAAGTTCTGAACCTCAAAGGGTCCAAAGAAACCATGGTAGGTGGGCAAAATCCTGTTGTTTTCCGTATCGGGAATGCAGGTAAAGGTAAAAGACACACTCCAAACAAATCAGGCAGAATTATGAATAAGAACATATAGGAATGTATGCTTAACATTTTTTAATACATGAAAACACTAAATCATCGCGTGTTCGATCCAATCGTTTGCTCATGATTGACACCGGTGCTGGTGAAGCCACGAAGGTTTGGACCACCGGCAGCCGATGCCTTTCACCGGTTGGGAGACCGGGCGAGGGCGAGAGCCACTGGGCGGAGTCGGACGTACCGGTGGCGCGACGTTTGGCGTTCGCGAACCGAGGCCATGAGCCCCGTGAGCCCACTAAAGCGGATGAACCCCCCCATGTTCAAGAGCAGCCGCATGCCATCCGTTTGGAGGAATTGCATCCTGACATGGAGTTTTTTTCGCCATCGTAATGGTCTTAGTGATGAAGAAGCTGTGAAAAACCATCGGAACTGAGTCCTTGATGGATGCGATGGACCATAGCATAGCAAATCCGGTCCAGAGTCTGAAGCCCTGAATTAGGTAGTTTTCACCATCACCCCTAAAAACACTCCATGTAGGGAATAGAATATACCTTCATCGACCCCGCAACCACAGCAGTGTAAGCAAAGACGCTAGACAGATCAAGAAAACAAGACTTTCTCACGTAGGTTTGTGCTTCTTGCTTGCGCGCGCGTAGCGGCGTAGCGTAGGTCTCCAAAGCCATCCAAAGCCTTATTTCCTGGACCAGCTGTGGAGGATATCCTACAAGCTGTGGACCGGTCTTGCCTTCTGTCAGGATGCAGTAGAACTCTTCCTGTCGGGTTGTCGCCCTTATCCACTCACCAGATGGGTCTAAAAAGCATAATGATCGACTGAGGACCCCTTGAGGAAAGGCTCAACAAGGCTCAACACCTCCTCTCTATTGGGGGTATTTTCCCGCCACTAGGTTTTCAGAGGTGTTCATCAAAATGTCAACATGGTTTCTCCTTCTTTGCATCATAAACATGTTTGCTTCTCTTCCCTCACAATCTCTTCATCGTCAATATGCTCCTCTAAGCCGGTGCTTTCCTTTCTCCACTCTCTCTCTCTGCCTTCGCGTCTTCCCGTCCAGGTTCCTGGAACATGACCGCTCCGTCTCTCCTCAATGGCCGGAAGCTTGGACCACCGAGCCTCGGACCGGGACGGGAAGAGCGACCGAGCCGCTTGGTCCAGGGCATGGTGGTATACATGTCGATCTGAGATTGCACCCTGGTCACCAAGAAACCCCAGCATCAATCATCCGAATTCAATTCGTTTTCCACTTCAATTCATCCAGCTGTGAGCCACTCAGTTGGTGGCTTTCGCATGCCTATCCCTTGCCATCCAATCTTGGGAGCCACTGCGCTCGACTTCCACACCTAACTCCCATGGTTTGTAGTCCCAATACCCTGATCTTTATATAGACTTCATTGGAGAGTAAGCCCAGGGGAGCGAACCGCTTCCAAGTTCACCACCGGTCCCTCCGGTCCCTCCACCACCAGGGATGTTTGGAGGGACCAGACCCTCCCACATGAGTTCTTCACGCGCGCGAATGGAAGTTCCACGCCCACACAGCCTTCCTTACTGGCCCAGCCAGATGTTTGCACCCAGCGAGGAAGGGCGATAGTTAAGACTCCCTACCTTCTTCAAATCAACACCTCTTCCCCCGCCGTCGCCCCCAAAACCGCTCTCGCTCTGACCTCAACCCTTCCTCTTCCGGTGCCGCTCTCCGCCCAGGAAGAGGATCCATGGCTGCAAGGTGCGGATCCCTGGGCTGAGGAAGATCCCTGGCTCCGAGAGGATCCCTGGGCTGCAGGCGGGTTGAGTCCACGGAGTCCACGGTCTGGTCGAGCCTGGGTTTGGGTGTCAAGCAGTGTGGCGGAAACGTGGGAAATACACGTGAGATTCATATTCTTTGCAACCTGAAGCCCTTCGTTCCTTGGAACATGAAGCCCTTCGTTCCTTTCCCTGTGGGAGTGCGAGAACGTGCGAAAACACCACCCCAATGCCGCAGAATGGCGTCATGCTCCCACTCACCAATTGCCCTTGAGTGCAACAATGACTCTATGACACCGCATTCACGGTTTCAAGATGAGGGGAAGAGTTTTGGGTATACTGTTGAAGGCAGTGTCACCGAAGAAAGACATTGAGGATTCACTTGTTGAATGCTACTGGGACTAACATAGTTCAGTTAACAGTCATTACCCACAGCGGGCTGTGGGTTGAAACTCTTAGAAGCTTTTAGACAATCTTCCCTATAGGGTCAGTTCAGAGAAGAGACGGGAGCGCATCCCGAGCCTTGACAGAAGTAAGAACGTGAACCAAGCCTCTAATGAACCGCAAAAACCCTCAGAGCAGCATGGACCGCGAAGACCGATTGGTTCCACTGAAAAACAATCTTCCCAGCGTTTGTTCACAGATTTGTGTTAGATCCCTTTTGAATTTTCTTCAGAGTACGTACCAAGAGCACGGAAGGGACAAAAGGCAAAAAGCATGTTTCAGGAATAAATAACGTTTTACAAGGGTCTCTCAAACGAAGGTATGATCACTTTCACCTCCGGCCAGGCAGGAACGACTGGGGGGTGTTGGGTCCCCTTCTCCACGCCCCTTGGCAGCTGGGCGCGGGCTCGGGCTCGGCTCTGCCTCAGCGATTGGGCGGTGAAGATGAGGGGATCTAGGAAGTTGTATAATTACTAGATCTACAAGTGGATTCCATGGTATGGTAGGCCCCGAACAACTGCTGCTCACAGATTCCATATGGATCCATATGGTATGGTAGGCCCAGGACAGCTTCCATGCTGTGTTGGTGTTTGTATGGCTCCGTCCTATTCCGTTTTTGGAAAGACTTCGACCCGAGTAGACTGCGGGAGACTTCCACGAGTGCAGACAACCAAAGCTATTGAGTTATTGGATAGGAGCCTCCCTATGTGGCCCTTGATGTCTATAATTATAATCAATGGCTCAGTCATGAAAATTAAACAAAACCAAGGGCTTCCTACTAATCAGATCCTTTCACCTGCTTGCTATTGTATATGTGGTTGCTCACTGGTTGTATCTCCCTCTCTCTTTTGGGAATCTCTCTCTTTTGCTCCCATTCATGAAGAGCCATCTTGGGTCGCATCTTCCATTGATTGTAATCATAATCCGGAGAATACTACGGCTAGTTGATGTTGATTTCCTTTCGAGGGTTCCCATGGTTGTTATGGTTTCTTTCTTTGTAGCAGATGATCCACAAGATCTCCACCTGAGGGCTGAAATGCGGCAACACAAAGTGAATCTCGATGGCTTGCTCTAGTCTTCAGATGAGTGTCCACTCTTCTCTAGCTCATAGACCCTCACCCTCTTGGGGTTGTTATGGGGTTTTATGGGACTGCCTAGTAAAACACCAGAGGTCAAGCCCTGATCGCAGGGGATCAAAGGACGGGGCGATCACCCGTGTCCGGCCTTGACATGCCGAAACGGCCAAAACGACCCTGTTGCTGATGTTTCAAAGATCGACATCGGACAGGCCATTGTCCCTTGACAAAACTCTAAAAAGCCTCACACATCAAGACCATCCAATGCATGTCCTGGCTGGACTACCCTACGCTACTTAGGGATCTCCAGCCAGGACACCCAAACAGGATGGTGCTAGTAGCTGCACCTCTTCGCTTCTTCCAACAGCACCTCTTCGTCCACACGTTCAGGCGCATCGGCACTTTGACTTTCCTGATGGACTCTTTGCAGGCCTGCGTTTGCCTATCCGAGGCGCGGCGTGGGAACCCGTGCGGAACCCGAGGGGCGAACGGAACTGAACGGGTGTTCGTTCGGCTTCTGTTATTACTGAATGTATGATCATGTATGTCCTTTTCATGACGGAGCCGGTTACTACACTCCCAAGTGGAACATAGCCCCCTTCAAATAACAGAACCAATGGACCAATTTCCTCTAGTTTCCTGTAAACGGGGGTGTCTGCTCAGCTTCCATGAGGACGTCTGAGGGAGGGTAGTAACTTCGCTTCTCGCTTCTGTGTTTCCTGCCGGAAAATAACCGTGTGGCGAAAGAACCGTGTTGCCATTGTTTGCCTTAAGCAATGAAGGCGTAGAGGTGAGGAGGTGAAGGTTCTTGACTAAGAAGTGATTCATCCGAGGATGGCTAGCTTCCTCGGATGGATCGGTCCCAAGCAGTGCCATGAGACATGTGAAATCAGAGTGCCAGGCAAATAGATGCAATTCTATCATCCATTCGCGCTCAGCCAAGCGCTCAGCCACCTCTCAAGTTGTTCAAAATGTTCAAAACAATACCACCTTTCTTCTGATTGAATTTGCTTTTGTTTCATGAACACACTTCGCACTTCTCCAAGGTCAACTAAAAACTTCTCTTTGCATCACAGCCTTGCACCGATACACCGTTGAATAGTCTTTGCACGTCATGTTTGTTTCGGACATTAAGATAGAGATTGCCTACTAGATACAAGAATGATTACACTCATATTTGGAAGTGGAACTCTGTATATAGTTATCAATCTTCACAGAACTATATCTCACTGATTTGATTTTGTCATGGTTTTACCATGTTGCATAACCCAATAGTCGAAGAGCCCAGAGCAGATGCTGTGCCTGTGTCTGTGTTTGGGACAGGCTGAAGGTTTAGAACATATTCACCGAAGGGTCGTCACTAGCTCACTTTGCGGGGCAAGCTAGAATTCACCTCTTGTTACTTCAAGATCTTCAAGACACCTGTTCAGGAAATGATTGTTCAAACCATATATATATATACATACTTCGGAGGCGGGGGGTGGTGGGGTGGAGGAAAGTACAAAGCAAACCCGTGGCTCTTCTTTTGCCTGCCTCCGCCTTCCCTCTCCGCCAGTCGGATATCTTGGTGGGAGCGATTCGGAGGATGACGACCCCGACTTCCTGCGGGCCTTGCAAGATTCTTGGCGCGCCGTTCCACTGTGGGACTCGTGGAGTGGGACTCGTTGGCTTGTTTTTTTTATGATGCGTCGCAATGAGTGGGTCGCTCAGTGCAGGGCGGATCGCAACCAGCCGAAGACGGTTAGACCTGAACGCGGCTTAGCGTCCCAACGTGTTCCGAACGCATGGTGGGACGGCACATGAGTTCTCGTGTGGTGTCCGGGAACTCACAAATCACCGAGGACAGGCTTTGCTGTCCCCAGACACTCCATGTATGGAATATTTACATACATTGAGGTGGTTTCATAGGAGAATGTTCTAAAATATGCCACAACCTTCAATTCTATCATCGCCATGTTCATTCTGCCCATCGCTTGAGGAATCCTTGCGCACAGCAGAGGCTGAGGAGCAAACACGCTTGGAGCAGGACCCGGAAAAAGAAGCATCACGGTTTTACGATACTTGTGCACCTACGGAGCGGGTCTATCAGCACCATGTCTATTGGTGGTGTGGGTTGCTGATGTGGATTTGATTTCGGGGCAAGCCTGCATGGAGTGATTGGCTTGTGGGGATCCTAGCATCATTTGGTATCCGTAGTATCCGCGAGAGATTTGCCTTGAAATAGTTAGAAAAATACCTTGAACACACTCAGTAAGCCTGCCTGATTCCATGTTTTTTGCCCGCAAACATGTTGTTCCCGTTGCCAGATTTGGCAAACACCGTGTTGTTTTTTCGTTCACTCGGATTGCCTGAGTTGCGTGTTTTTGCTCGCCTGAATTGGTTGTGCAATGTCTAGTAAAATGTGTATGTATGTTTTGCCCAAGTCCTTCTTCGCCCACGGGCTCTTATTAGAGACACTACCCTGAAAAGATGAAAAGGCAGATTTTCAGCTGGCAGACAGAAATCTGTGGCTGGTAGGATGTGGTAGATGGTTGAGGCCGATAGTTTGAGGTCCCAATCTCTTGAAATCGAACCGGTGACCTTCACCCACATTCACGCGCGTGCGGAAGCGAAGGATCGAGATACTCAGATCCGGCTGGTGGGCCACTGTGTGGTGTGCTTCGAAGCCAAGTCACTGGGTAGAGTTGGGCGTTCTTGGCCGTTCCATTCGTTTGGATTCGTTTGGGGTCCAGCATGGCCCGGCACCAGCACAGCCTGACAAGGTTGTCACGTTGAACATGGTGTTTTCCCCCAAACAGATGCGTTTTACAGGACTTTTAACTTATATACACACGTATTATATACTATAATACACTGGGGTGCCGAAAGTTGCGCTTCTTGACTTCTAAAACGGGACAAACCCTTTCCCCTTAGAATCCTACGTGCAACATGTCGACACCTAAGTTGCGGTCAGATTTCCACACCTGAAAACCTTATAAGTATTATACATTTAAACGGGTGTGGAAATCTGACCGTGCTGTACCTGCCAGGCAAAATGGACGTGTCAATCCGATCCGCTGTAGACCGCAAGTGTCATGTTGGAACAGAGTAAGAAGCGTAAACTTTAGGGTTCTTGAAGTATATATACATATATATATTCATACTACAGTAGTACTAGCTGGAACACAACAACGTTCATAACATGTGCCAAGACGATTGGTTAGGTTTGCAGGCAGATGTGTTTGCGGTCATTTCTTGGAGACCAGGCCAAGCCTGGGTTTGTCTCTAGTGACTGTTCAACACCGCTGGTAGCCATTTAGATGGATGGGATGAAATAACATGGAATTGGATTGGATTGGATGGAATGGAAGGAATGGACGGAATGCAATGGATTGGAGAAGGAAGGACGGAAGGAATGGATGTATGGATGGATGGGTGGATGGGTGGGTGGATGGATGGATGCATTGATGGATGGAAAGGAAAGAAGGAAGGAAGGAAGGAAGGAAAGAAGGAAGGAAGGCAGGGAGGGAGGCAGGGAGGGATGGATGGGTGGGTGGATGGAAACATGGGGCTCCGGAAATATGCTCACCCCTGTCATCGTGCGGGATTATCATCCACTTACAGTACTAGTAGTGAGTGTGTCTTAACCGCTACTAGTTGAGGGCCATAGCGCTTCATTGCACCATCCTGAGCCTGATGTTAGGCCGCGGGATTTCTCTTTCCAACAGGTCATCACTGCCAAACTACACAGATGGTCAGTCCAAGTTGGTCACAAATGAGCCGGTGACGAGAGCACCAAAGACGCGTAGAACGACTGGTGACCTGTTCCAGCAGAAGGGACGGCTTATAGACATCCCTGACGTATTACTTCCCTCCAACAACCCGAAGTCCGTGGTGCGGGTTCAGCGCTCCTCCGCGGTGTGTTGTGAACACCCAGCCAAGGCAGGGCGGTGCTGCCTGCTCGCACGGCGCTGCGACCTCCTTGAGCGACCACCGGCCGGCCACGCACTTCGTGTGCGGCGAATGCCTTCCAATGCAGCTGGGCTTCGATCACGTTTTTGGAGCTGTGGCTGATTGGGGTGCCTGAAGGAGAAGGGCATCCAAGCACATTGTGCTTTGTGTTCACCCCTTCTTTCGTAGCTTTTGGGATGGTCTTGGAGGCGAGTATATATCCAGAGAATGGTCAAACTGGGGCCAAAGGACATCAGGATCATCTCAGACCCTTACACCATGCAGCAACTGACGCGGGAACCGGGCGCCTCGCGAGAGAGCGAGGTACGTGGAGAGCGAGCTCCGTTCGGATGAACAAAGCGATCGGCGGCTGATGGAGCGCCGGGCCTTTGGGCACTGTCTGAAGTGTCCCTGTGTCTTGGGTTGTTTTACTCTGAGGGATGGAGGGGGGAGCAGATCTATATAAGAACATAGAACAGCTGCTGGTACGCCTTGAGGATGGTCTTGGAGGCTAAAGTACTTCCTTAGAATGGTGTTTGGGGCCCAGGGACACCCTCAGCAGGCTCCTGGACTCAGAGGTGGGGCAGGTGAGTTGCGGGAGGATTATATGGCGCCTTGGGCCAACTCACCAGTTGCAGGTGTCATATAAGTTTCCGGTCTCATGGGTCATAAATATAAATATAAATAAATATATATACTAATTTCAATCAGATCCTAATGATCCTATGACACCTGGGCCAACTGAAAGTGTGGCAGCCCTACGGCCACTCAGGTAGCCCTATGCCCATGGACTGTGGAGGTTTTGTGGAGGACCCGGAACTGCCGTTTACACTGTCGCAGTTTCGGTGCACCTGGATTTTGCATGAAAGAACGTGAGCTCGACTGCTGGTGCGGAGTTCTTCCAAGATTTGATTGGAATTGGCAGACCAAGAATCAAGAATCGATGTCAGACTTCCCTTGGACCTGGATGTGACGCTACAAGAAGAAGACGATACCTGGCAGGAGCAAGGCTAGTGCACGACACTTGACCTTGAAGCCGTAAGTGTATCTGCATGTGAACTTTCTACAGATGAAAGGGAGCAAAGCTCAATCTACGTCATGGCGAAGAAGTACTGAGTGGAATTTGAGCGAGGCAAACCTTCACTGTCTGTTTTCACGAATTAAATCCTATACACAGCCTACGGGATGAACTGCACGCTGTATAGATATGCAAAAGACCGCTTAGTTTCAATAGTGATGTGTAGTCAGAGTCTATTTTGATAGGTCTCACGGCAAAGATATAGCGAACCACTGTACATAGTTCACTACCCTTGAATTTCAAGTGTGGCCATTGCCGAAAGCGTCGGTCACGGGGGTGTCAATAGCAGTGGGACGACAATACAATCTAAGTCTAAACATGTACAGCACATTTCAGCGTGTCACGCCAATCTTTGGCTCAAGGCTCCTGTGGTGCAAGCGAGAAAGAAGCGCGACCCCGCTGCCCTTCAGGGAGAGAGGATAGTTTACTTGTACTTCCCGTCAAGCAGATTTATATCCACACGCAGGCTTTCAATAACCCATCCAGGAAGATGAGACAAATCCTAGAAATCAAGAACAGGAAAAAGGCTGCAAGGCTCACCACATGTTTGACTTGAGTTTTTCTTTCTTGGGGGCTTCTGAGAGATGATGAGATTCCGAGATTGATCGGTCACATCCGTACGTTCGTCCAGGAGAGACATGTGAGGCCGTTCCTCTCTAACACGCTTTGGTCCCAATTGCAGGCAGCCTCTCAGGCAAGACGAGACGTTCACTTTCACTTGGGAGTCGGGGAAAAAGGCGGCGAAGTGCTGGTGGGACATGAGAAGAAGTATTAAGCCCTTCGGCCCCTTTGGAACTTCTGGAATGGATTGAATGGATATGGGCCGTCCACTATAAACTATTTCACCCCGGCGGGGCTACCCCAAGTCCATTAAGGCGCGGCCCATGAATGGCTGGCGTTTGCAACTTTGAATGCTTCAGCTGTGCCAATCGTGCATAGTGCGACCTGAACATCTTTCGGTCGTGGACACCGGTTGTTTGGAGATCGGCGAGTTGTTGCACCGTGAGGTCTTCCCAAAGGGGAAGAAAACACCAGAAGAGTCGCCCATCTTGGGGATGGGAGCATGGCAATTCACCTAGAGATGGAAACGGCCCACAAAAGGTAGGTCAACCTCCTGGTTTGGTGCCAGTTCCCCGAAGCCAGCCCATCCTCTTCTCGGTTTCAAGTCCGAGTCCTGCTTGGGCATTGAAACCATGAAGAGATCTCCAACCTCGCGGGGGGGAGGAGCAGCTGATCCCCAAAGAGTTGGATGTTTACACCAGATGGCTAAAAGCAATTGGTGCACCACCCGAAGCCGCCCGCCTGGGAGGAGAACTGAAATTGCGTGCATGAAACCGCTGTTTTAGGGAAAGGACCGATTCAGGAGATCAATGTCTGTGTCGACTTGGTGAAGTATAGAATGTGAAGTAAATGAAATACATCTACCTGGACCATCCAAGGGGATCCAAAGGGTGCCCCATGGAAGCCTATAGGTAGTGTGGGGTAGTCCAGCCAGGACACCCCTTGGATGGTCCTGGTATACATGTCCGTTGATTCTTCCAGTGGCGACCGTTGGCTGGGAGCAAATTGTGAGAAATCCATCTGCACCTGCGACCATGGGGGGCCCCAAATGGATAGTTTGGTGACTGGTGGAGATTACAACCATCGAATCCACTTATAAGTTATAAGTTATAAGGGATCTTTGTTAACAGGTTGTGTCCTATAACTCACCTGGGATTTGACCACACAGGCGGACGAGAAGCATCGGCAGTGGCAGAAGGAATCCAGGGACAACGAAGCTGGGTGATAGTCGCGCCGTGTCGTGCCGGTCGTTACCGTCAGACGCAAGGGCTCGGCTCTGGACAAATCGGGCCTGAATCCGAACTGGAAGCAACCAATCCCTAAGTTTGGAGCGTTTAGGGTAGGTGGGTTTTCGTATGAATCACCCATATACCACCAGTCAGAGCTCCCTCCCGTTGTGTCACATCTCTCAGCGTCCAGGTCGCTGGACTAGGGGTGACGAAAGGGGGGTTCTGGGCTCCAAGATCTCCAACTCAGAAGGTGTTTCCCCAAACACAGTCAAAGGCTGTGACAAAAGGGTGTTTGTCAGAGATACCCAGAGGCTCATCTCCACGAACAAAGGGATTTGAACATATGAATGGGGTCCAATTTGTGGGTGAAAGAAGACCCAGTCCGCGCAAAAAAGAGGGTCCCAGGCCGCGCCCATCGCGTTGACTTGGCCAACCCAGGAAGATCCCGAGTTCCTTCGGGTGCCTTGGATGAAGTCGTTTTGCCTCAGCCCTCACAGCGCCCAGGTCGTTCTCTGAGACCCACTCAGCCGGTTCAGGTCCGGCGCCGCCGTTGGGTCCCTGAACCAGTACAGACTCGCAAGATTAAGACCCTTAGCAATCCTTGGCAGGGGATCTAGATAGGCAAGTTGAGCGTGAAGCGTGAACAGACCTGGAACACCACCATCGGAGTGTCTGCGGCTACGTGGACCTTATGCAAAAAAGGCACCAAATGCCGGCAGAAGGGGACTACTGACTACTGCAACTTCCTCAATAGCAGATGGCCTGGTCACTGTATTGGGTAGTTGTTCCCCTCCATTTGATTTGACAAGGAAATGCACCTCTTTTGATGCAAACCTAGACCTAGACAACAATAAACGCAATATACAGATGATAGATGTACTATATATGTGTACTATCAGAATGTACCCAGTGACTTCTTGATGCTGACAGTGGCAACTCTTTCTGCCAGTCTTGCTGTTGAATCTCCAACTTGAAGATACACATCATGCACTGCTGGTGATGCACTAACCACTATAATCCACCATATATGTTTGGTCTCTGTGTGTGTGTGTGTGTCTCTCTCTCTCTCTCTCGCTCTCTCTCTCTCTAGAGGATCTCTCTCTCTCTCTCTAAGTTTGTGGACATTTACCTCAAGGAAGGTGCTTCTCAGGGTCTCCGGAGGCTCCTGCCACATGTGTTCTTCTTCAGCATGCCCTCGATCAGGAAGCATTGCTGCGCTCGATGCCCAACGCGGTGCAATGTGGCAGATGTCAGTACGGCCCCATCGACCATGCGCCTCGGAAGCAGACGCAGACGCAGGGCACCGGCGCAGGTCCGGCACCGGCGCAGGTCTACGACGATTTTTTCGATGAAGACGTGTTGGACAGGACATGGGACATGGTCGCGTGAGGAAAGTTGTTTGGAGAAGTTTCATGTTGATGTGGATGTCCCCTGGTGAATTTTTTGTAGTTGTACTCGACTGGAGTTCTTGATCAGCAGCGATGTGCAGGTGTGAATGCATCAGAGAAATTCAATTCATGGGGAGGTGCTGAGAGCACACCGCTCACATGTTAGGTGCTTTCAATACATTTCCTTGGCCACCATACTGTCTGGACGGTACCCACTCACCCCTGACGATGACTCACCACCGCGAAGCCTGGCGTCGCAATGCGCCGCGGAGCATTGCGACCAGAGTCTTCACCATCGTTGCCGGCAAAGGGGGAATCGTCAGCGTTTGGTAAGGCGAATGTGTTGGGAGGGCCGCGTAGCGCCGCGCTTAAAGGCTGGCTGTGACGACTTGGATGCTCACCACTGGCAGTGGCAGGGCAGCTCGCAGATCCAGCGCCCTGGCGGAACAGGTTGAGAACAATTGCTTGCCACCCAGTGTTTACTTCAGGTTAGATCCCAATGACCACTGTAGAGCATATATAGAGACCTTATCGGAACCGCAGTAGCTGTGAAAGTTGAACCCTTTGGGTAGGGAATCGGAATCAAGATATGCAGCATGGCATCTACGCCAACCATTCATACTGAATGGGCACCTTGTCACAACGGTTGTTTCGGTTGAAATGGTTTTGTTCATGTTGAATGGGACTTGTTGTGTGCAAAATAATATGTGATTTTAAAAGTGATTCCTGCTTAGCTGCTTCTTTGATTCCAAATTGTTGCTCAGCCACAATGGGTATATCATATGTAATCAGACACATGCAAACACAAACTAGAGTCCAGGAACCTTCATTCCAATGGTAGGTCCACCACCACTGGTAGGTCCACAACAGGCAGGAACCACTTGTTGGACAGGGCGGCTTCTCTCAAAAGAATGCCAAGGCAAACAAGACAAGACAGTTCATGGGGATTCAATCTTTTGGGGAGTTTGAGCGATGGAAGGCTGGCAGAGACAGAGCATGTTGGCTCAGCTCCACTGAAACCAAACTTCCCAGTGAATGCAGCTACCACATTCTAGAACTGACCCCAGTAAAACCTGGTCCTTTACCTCATAGACCAGGAATTTGTATGTTACCAACACCCGTCAAATGAGGTCTTTGACCTGTAGAGCATATGATTCCAAGAGTCTCTTCCACCAACACTACTCCCAATTCTTCTCTTCTTCGCGCATCCCGCGAGCCTCTCTCTAACACAGAGCTCCTGCGCCTCTTTACACGGGGAAAGTCAGCGAGGGTCCATCGGAAGGATGGTCATGTCGAAGAGTTCCCACAACTGGCGGACCCTCCTTCCTGGCCGCAGGACTTGCTTGGATCAGCAAGTTCTGAAGCAACCATAAAACTTGATATACTTCCAGTTGCGCTGGTGGAACACAAAAAACAGCTCTGAAACACTTGTACCTAACGGTTAGACTGGTCTAGTTTCCTTCAACCTTCCAGGTGCTCGGAACGCCTGGGATCGTCTCCCTTTGTTCCATACATATATATAGAGAGAGAGAGCTGGCCGTTGCCTGGGTCCTTTTCCAATCCGCCCTCTGAGGAACCAGTGTCCGAAATGCGGATGGTGGGCTCACAATATCGATTCCTGGCCATCCTGGGATGGGGTGATCCGGCAATGACATGGTCACATGAGGCTGAGGCCACACGGGTGGGGGTTCGGTTGGCAGTTCTTCTTCTCAGGTAGAAGAACGTGAGTTGGGCCACGACTGGATGAACTGGAACGACTGGATGCTAGCTTTACTGGTGCAAACATATTACTATAAGTATATGTATATATGTGCAAAACAAGCTACTCCGTTCATGCCATACATGTACAGGTCTTCGTACTGAGGCCTTTGAGGTTCAAAACAGCTCGCATGGTAGCGGAGCTGTGAAGGCTGACACTTGTCAGCTGGAGCTCCAGGGAAGTTTTAACCCAGGTGTGAGGTCGCCCGCGCCGAGCCACCCATCCAACTAGTGTTGCACTTTCGCTCGCAATCATAGCCTGTGATTACCTGAAGGGGATCTTCGAGCGAGTGTCCTTTGGAGGTGGATAGAGGGGGCGAAGGACCTGGGCAGAAGGAAGAGCTTGGCACTACAAGGAAGAGAAGATGGACCAGACCGACATGCCCGTGCTGGCTCAGGCTGTCATAGCGGCTGCTAATGCAGCAGCCCAGGCGGCTCAGGCAGCGGCTTCAAGTGGAGGAGCGGCTGGTCAGGGTGCAGAAGGAGCAGGGGGAAGTCAAGGAGTGTTGAAGCGTGATCTAGCAAAGTTGATCCCACGACCTGGTGCCTTTAATCCCACAGACAGAGAACAAGAGGTTTTGCAGTGGCGAGATTGGTACTGGACAGTCAAACAATATTTGGTTGTGGTTGATGCAGCATTTCAAGATGAGTTGGAAAAGCTAGAGACCAACCTGACAACCGAGATAGACTGGGAGTTGCTGGATGAGGAGGAACAGCAGAGAAGTCGATTCCTGTACAGCTTGTTGGGGAGCTTGGTACAAGGACGACTGACAGGTGTCATCAAGAATGTCGAGAAGTTCAATGGAATGGAAGCACTTCGACAACTGTTGATGAACTGTCAACCCCAGGCGAGAAACAGGACAATGAACCTCCTGCAAGGGATAATGTCCTACCCGAGCTTCAACATGAAGAGTTCCTTGTTGCCTCAAATCCTCAAGTTAGAGGAACACTATGTCCAGTATGAGCGCCTTGGAGGAAAGCTATCACCTGACATGAAGTCAGCGGTGTTGCTCAGAGCGGTGTCGGGTCAGATGAAGACTCATTTGAATCTGACTTTGAATGAGGGCAGCTCATATGCCAAAATCAGGGAAGCGATCATTGCCTTTGACACAGCCACCACCAAGTGGAATGAGTCGGGAGCCCTTACGTTTTCAGGAATGAGCCCAATGACGAATACAACAGATCCCAATGGTCCAATGCCCATGGAGATTGACCGCATCAAGGGTGACGGCAAGAAAGGAAAAGGAAAGACCAAAGATGGGAAAGGCAAATCGAAGGGCAAAGAAGACCGACAGAAGGGAAAAGGCAAAGGTGGCAAACCTGGTGGAAAAGAAGGCAAGGGTAAAGGAGGTGGCAAGGAGAACAAAGGTGGCAAAGGCAAAGCTACCAATGAAGTGTGTTGGACTTGCGGCAAACCCGGACATATGTCACGTGATTGTTGGAGGATCAGACAAGTGGAAGCACCAGCAGTCCAGAGCATCGCAGGTTCTCACACTACTTCGCCCTCTACGACATTGACATCGAGCACTTCGAGTGGTGGAGGCGGAGACGCTAATGCGGGTGCCAAGAGTATCAGACGTGTTTCACAGCCAGTGATCTTCGACTTGAGAGAAGGGAGTGAAGCTGGTTCAATTCGAGTGGTGAGCCAAGTTGAATTTTTCAACATTGCCTCAGAGGATGAAGAGGAGGATGGATGCTACCAAGTCAACACCATTGCTGAGACCGAGCATGAGGAGGAGGCCGAGGAGGTCTATGTGGCAGAAGAGGAGCAACAGACCTTGAAGGTGATTGTTGACTCGGGGGCGGATGCTTCGATCTTCCCAGGAAGACTCATGGGAATGACAAGGAGTGATCAGGTGTTGGGACAAGCCCTCCATCTGCAAGACGCCCAAGGGAAGAAGATCCAGAGTTATGGCAACAAAGATGTGGATATCTTGATGATGACATCGGAGGGCCAATCTGTGGTCTTGAAGGAGAGAGTGACCTTCAGCGACATGGTGAGCCAGCCCATCTTGTCTTTTGGACGCTTGATGAGAAGCGGGTGGTCAATCGATGGCCAAAGACAGTGTTTGAGGAATGGAAGCCTGGAGGTGCCTTTAGCGTTTCAGAATCAAAGCCTAGTGGTTGATGCCGCCATCAGGGTGATCACAGAACCCCTGGTGATTCGCACGCTGGCAGTCAGGCTGAACGAGGAGTTGACCAACATGGCTGGAAGCGGCTATGGCTGGAAGAAGAAAGATGAGTTTTGGGTTGGACTTCACTTGAGCACAAGGTTTCAAAGCCCACAGTTCATTCCGGGCTTTCGAGATCAAGGAGAAGGAATGTGTCGAACTACCCTGGTGGAGAAGCAGGGCAGTTGGGAGTTGGTAGAAATGGCCGAACCATTAGATGGCCTAGAGGAGCAAGAAGAGGAAGTAGAAGAACTTCGTGAGGTGGGTCTTAGCAAGGTGATGACCTTTGTGGCTCAGGAAGGAACAGTTCCAGAGATGTTCGGTTTTGAAATTGACAATGCAGTCCAGTTGGGTCCTAGACCAGCAGTTGAAGAGCTCGCAATTCCACAAGCTCAAGATGAGGAGATGGAAGAATTCGATGGTGCAGACATTCCAGGTGGAGATGACGAGCCCAACCCTGGTCGTGACCTACAAGAACAGATGGTGCACTATGAAATCGGTGTTGCACTTCCAGAGGAGATTCGAGTGAACGAGGTCCCATTGACAGTCGACAGCCCTCTGAGGAACCTGAGAGCTGCTTGTGCTTTCTACAGGATCGGACAGAGTGGAGGCAAGAGAAAATGCTTCAGTCGGCTAGTGGCTCATCAAGGTGCACTCGAGTTGATGATGGCCAAGGACTTAGCTGCGCGAGGACAAGCAATGGGGCAGAGGATTCCAGTGGAGCAGGCGACAGCAAAGGTCCCGACAGAAGCAGAGAGGAAAGCCCATGAGCTTACTCATGTCCCTTACGCTCCATGGTGTCCTGCCTGCATCAGGCATCGAGCTCGTCCTGATCAGCACAGAAGGACGGGGAAGTCTCATGACCAAGGAGTTCCAACAATCTCCTTCGACTTTTGCAAGGTGAAAGCCAAGGGTTCAGGAGCGATTGGAGCGGAAGAAGAGGATGCTGCTCAGGAAGGGGTGCAAGATGATGAGAGTGGAGCGCTGCTGATGGTTGCAGTGTGCTCAGAAACAGGCTCACTATTGGGCTTGCCTTTGAAGACAAAGAATCAGATGAACCTCATCACCCACGAGCTGCTTGCATTCACTCAGATTCTCGGCCATGAGGCTGTGCAGTACTACTGCGACAATGAACCTACTGCGAGGCAAATTGTTCGACTCTTGGTGGCTTCGAGAACAGCCATGGGTTTGAAAACCACAATGAGAACAACAAAGCTTTATGACTCAGCAGGCAATTCTTTGGCTGAGAATGCAGTTCAGCGAGTACGAGGTCTCGCAGCTTCGATGATGGAGAGTTTGGCGGAGAAGATCGGCTTGAGATTCCAACATCAACATCCATTGTGGTCTTGGGCGTGCCGCCATGCTGCTTGGACCCTGAATCGATATCAGGTGCTGAGGGGGACGACGAGCTTTGAGTTGACTCATGGAAAGGCCTATGATGGCAAGATGTGTCCTTTCGGAGAGGTGGTGTTCGCCTACACGAAACAAAAACAGGGCTTCAAAGCGGACCCAAAGTGGAAGGTAGGCATTTGCTTGGGAAAGACAGAGGTCCAGGATGCATGGGTCATCGGAGATGGAAACAGAGTCTTCCTTAGCAAGTCCATCCGCAGAGTTGCAGATGCCAGTACCAGGTACATAGCTTGCTACCAGGGCTTCACGGCATACTCATGGGAGTACCAGCAGAATTTTGGTGGAAGAATAGTCCCATCAAAGAGGGTTGCAACGATGGTTGGAGGACCACTGCTGGGATTGCCGACACCTGGAGCAGGAGGAGAAGCTCTGCAGGATGAGGATGCCAAAGAGGTAATCGCCTTCTCGAAGTCCTATGCGGGAAAGCTGGAGGAGGCAAAGGACTTGGTCGACGTGGTTGAGAAAGAGAAGGTTCAGGTCCAGGAGATGAGTGAGGAGCAGAAGATTGCGGAGAACAAGAAGCTGGACTATGTAGAAGAGAGTGTGAGTCTGCCGCCACTCAGATCCAAGGATCCGAATATGGTTGATGACACAAACAACCAAGCTGGACCTTCAATGCCGGGCATCACACCGAGAAGCCCCGCGCAAAAGAGTAGTCTCAGCACAACGGGTGATGAAGGAGATGCGAAGAGGTTAAAGTTCACTACCTTCAAGCTTGTGCACGAGAGTGGAGGAGAGAGCTCAGAGACAAAGAGGCAGAAGGTTGGAGATGAGAAGCCACAGATTGAGAGAAGGGTGCAAGCGACGGAAGTAGGAGCTGATGTGTACTACCACATGGACCAGTTCTTTGGTGAGGAGGAGTTCTTGTCTTGGGATGGAGAAGAGGAGGAGACTCCGTTGACAATGATTCCCAAAGAATTGTGGTCAGAGGCGCCCTTGGACAGAATTCCCGCAGATCCGCCAGCTTGGATCGATGACCTGGCAGATGAGGTGGAAGAGCAGAGACTCTTGAGGATGAGAGTCTTGGAAGCTATGGAGGAGGAAAAGGCAGGTTTCAAGAAGTTGACAACGAGGTTTGTCAGGGACTGGCGAGTGAAGCCTCGTCAGGACTTGCCCGACGCTCCCAAGCAGTTCCTCAGAAGATCCAGACTGGTTGCTAGGGAATATGCAGTGGACAGGCGAGATGATGTGCACAGCCCAGCAACAGGAGGACAGACATTGCGTTTGTTGCCCATCATCTACCTCATGAAGAAGCTGGAAGAAAGAGATGGCGGTGAGGAGTTCTGGTTGGGTTCAATGGATGTGAAAGACGCCTTCCTCCAAGTGCCCCAGGAGGAGCCGACACAAGTGAGAACCGCCAGAGGTCACTATGAGGTGAAGCGCAACCTACCCGGTCAGAGGTTAGGAGCCAAAGCATGGTTTGACTATTTCACAGACTGGTTGAGGAAGAAGGGGTTCCAGTTCTCGGACATCAATCCATGTCTTGGGAGAAAGGAAGACCGTATGATGGTGTTGATCCATGTAGATGATGTCCTCTACCTGGGCAGTCGAAAATATGTGGAGGAGATTTTCCTGCCTGACATCAAGAAGAGCTTTGACATTTCGGAGCAACACTTGTCAGGAGATGGTACAACCTTTTCTTTCCTGAGGAGAACCTATGAGCAAACACCAGAGGGGTTGAAGATCCTGCCGGGGAAATATGCCGAGAGCATGATTGAGCAGTATGAGTCCCAACTGGGCCGAGCCAAGATCCAGAAGTTGCCATGTGGACCGGAGATGCTTGAGCAGGATGGAACGTCCATGGTGAGTGGAGAGTTGGCCAGTCTCTTCAGATCCCTGGTTGGCTGCGGCATCTACTTGTCGCAAGAGAGGATGGATGTGTCCTTTGCAATTAAGGAGCTGGCATCCTCAATGGCCTGTCCAACAACAGGGAGTTTGAGAAAGCTTGGAAAGCTGGTGGGTTACTTGAAAGCAACGATTGGACAATACAGTCTTCTGCCGTATCCAGACCCAGGACACGGACATGCCACCAGAACAGCTACGTCAAGATGGCTGCTCGAAACCTTCACAGACAGTGATTGGTCAGGAGCAAAAGGACATAGAAGGTCAACATCGGCAGCGGTGCACATGGTGAATGGGAACGTTGTCTTGACAAGTTCTAGAGGCCAGAAGTCAGTTTCCCTGAGTTCTGCGGAAGCAGAACTAATGCTCTTGTGAGTGGAGCAGCAGATGGGATCTACCTGAGAAGGTGCTTGGAGTTTCTCGTGGAGGACAAGGTAGTACACCATTGCCTGGTAGACAACTCCGCGGCACTACACCTGTGTCATAGGAAGGGTCCAGGCAAACTTCGGCACATTGCTGGCAAGTTGTTATGGATTCAGGACATGGTTGCACAGGGAGATCTTGAGGTCAAGGCCGTAGGGACAACTGCCAATGTCGCTGACCTAGGCACCAAACCGCTAGCCAAAGCCAGGGTGAATCTCATCCTGCATTGGTGCCAGATCTACAATGGTGAAGGAGAGAGGATTGGACAAGAAGAGCAACAACGACTTGAAGAGAGCAGTGTGAGCCGCAGCAAGATCCAGAGGCTTGCAAAACTGCTCAACAGAATCTTGCTGTTGGAAGGCCTTGAGCATGTGGCTGGTGAGCGAGTGGGCATGGAGGAGAATGTCATCGTGACCAACCACAGTCAGTGGCTATGGGCATTTCTTGTGATCTTGATGGTGGTGATTGCCGTACTGATCTTCGGCATTTACCAGCTCTGGAAGAAGCTTGAGAGAATGGAGACAAGGCTTCAGCAAGTGGTTGATGATGTGAAGGTTGACGGCATGATGGTGGGAGCCTATGGCCATGAGACGAAGGAAGCAATAGCGCAAGTGAAGAAGTATGTGGAGAAGGTACATCGAGGCTTGATCAAAGCTTCAGGTTATGTTGATGATGATGAGGTCTTGATGGAAGACTGGAGGCATTGGGACTACCTCCAGGACACCAACAAGGAGTTTGACATGAGAAGACTTGACAAGCAGATCAAGGACTACCTCCAGAGAAATGTTGAACAGACACGTCGACACCTGAACATTCGAGACAATACCTTGAGAGACAACACCGGTGGAAGTGAAGAGAGCGAAGAAGGAGAACACGATCCAGATGATATGGTACAAGTCAGATTAGAATCTGGACAAGTGGTGACAGTGAGAGCAGGTGACCTTGAACCTCGCGAACCAGAAAGTGAGAATGAGGAAACGGTGCCTATGGAGACAGAGCCAGAAAGGGTACCAGATCGAACAGGGGAAGCGCGTGGCAGCAGAGACCTGGAGTTTGAGGATTTGACTATGTCAGCACCAACAACAAGGTGGCTCACAGATGCAGAACTGCATGAAGTGAGTGAGTATGACAAGCCAGCCTTCAGGTCTTGCTTGAGAGCCAAGCAGTATTCCCTACAGTTCGAGAAGCGATGGTTCGAGCTCAACCAAAGGAACGAACATGAATCCAAAATGGAGATGTACTCACGAATGGGAAGGCACATGGAGTTCATGGACAGCGAGACAGTTCCTTTTTAAGATGTGGGTGGCGCAGCAAGCACGGAAAAGAGCTTAGCTCACAGCGCCAAGGAGGAGTGTGCAAAACAAGCTACTCCGTTGCCATACATGTACAGGTCTTCGTACTGAGGCCTTTGAGGTTCAAAACAGCTCGCAATATATATATATATATATATGTATAAAAGTCATTTTGTGTGCCCTTAAGTTCCCACTGGTCCGTAGAGGAAAATCGTGTTTTCTGTGTTTGGTTCCCGCTGGTTTGCTCTTCGTCTTCAGGCCCTAAACAGCTTGATCCCGAGGTAATCTACAAGGACAGCTCGATTCTTTAAGTGGTTCCACAGCTGAACTGAGGTCAACAAAAAGGTCTCATGGATGTAGTACCTGTCATAGCTACTACCGGTGAAGCTTTGAACACATGTCACTGATCACAGAAGGGCAATACCAATCTCTGAATGTGCATATGTACTTGTGTATATATATACACATATGGAAGTGCAGCGCTGCACCTGGAGGACCTGCGTCTCAATCATCGCCAGGATCATTGGCTGGTGCAAGTTCAGCAGACGCTACAGTAATGACTATGTCGACAGGATCACAAGTTTCAGGTGAAGGTAGGGTCGCTCCACCGGAGTCGATTGCTACCAGATCCGATGCAAGAATTGGCAACGCGAAGAAATCATTGAGAAGATTCACGAGATCGACATCACCAAGAACGAATATTGACAAATCACCAAAGAGGAGCATTGAGAGAGTTGAGATCGAAGACGCGCTGCCATGTTTTGGAACGACTACAATTGAGAAGAAGAAGAAGAAGAGGAGAATGAAGAGGATACCGGACGTTGAGACAAGTTCAACTCACCAAGTATGAACCTCTGTCAGTTGTAAGAGTATCCACATCATGATGAGAACTTCTTTAGTTGTGGACGTCACGATGCAACTCGGACTATCTCATGACGAAGATCTACCGAGAGTTCTCTGAGCCTGGCTAATTCAACTATCCTTTTACAATTCATTGGGACAGCCAATAGGTCTACTCACGCACATTTATTTGTAAAGTCCGCTTAGTTTCGCTAGTGTTGGTCAGTACAGAGTCCGTCTTCGGCCTCGCGGCATCAAGTCGAAGCCTACTGCATAGTACACATACCCTTGGATTTTGATTGTGTACCCGGAGCTCAAAGCATCGGATACATGGGAGGTGTCATGAAAGTGCAGCAACAGGCCATAGTATGTATAGAACATGTACAATGCGTGTGAAGAACCCTATAGACTATCCTATAGGTACCCCATGGTACCCCAGTAGGGTGCTATAAGGTCACTTAACCTCTGTTGGAACACAACCACCTTTGTTAGCGGAGAAATAAGCGCTTTGCTTTGCCCAATGCTTATATGTATATATATATAATGTAGGCATCTCCATCATCTCTTGATATATTTGTCATTACTTGTCCATTGCTTGCTGTTTCGGTCGACTCCCGCAGGTCCCGAGATGAGAAGATTGAACAACTTGGAGACCTCCAAAGGGGGCAGTGATGAATACGGTGCTTCTGCCGATGACGCATTCGGCAGCGTGGACGCATCGGACGGAGGATCGGATGAAAACGCGTGGTTGGGTCGTTGGGACCCGACCCATACTCCAACAATCAACTGATTGCCAACATTGGCCCGACAAAACATCTTGAAACCGCCCTGATATAGGCAAATAGTCCAATAGACGGATTGTTTGAGATATAGGGAGGAAGTCGTTGGGTATGTCTTGATCCGTGCATCCGATTCGTCGACGCCTAGCGGCCGGTGCAGATCATCAAAAGAACGCCTGAGAGGGGTGTCTCGTTATAACCAAAGCTCCCCTCGTGACGATGTCTATTTCTTGTGCTTTCAAAAAGATAATCGGACATGTTTGGACGGACTTCCTTTGGACGATGTCTTGAAGTGCCTCTTCTTTACACTTATCGAAAGTGCAGAAGTGGCACAAATGGATGCCGGAGTGTGCTGTATTTATTTCTTCACATGGCTACAAGCCAGGAGGGACGGACCCCTAAAGAACTGCTGCATGGTACAGACGCAGCCAGAAATTGAGCGCCAAAGTTGAAATCCAAGTGGTCCAATCGACAGCTTCCGCAGTCCACTCATTGTCCAGTCTCATTTTGCGGTGCGATGGACGACACGGCCACATTAGGGTGATTTCGTGGGATGGGCGAAAAAAATCCCAACACTGAAAGTGAACAGTGGCGAGTCATGGCAATCCCACTTTCGCTGGTGCATTGGCGAATTTTCAATCCCATGGTGATTTCATGATTGTGAGTCATGGCACCAGGGGATACTTGGTTTGTTCCCACTGACAGTGAACGGACGAGACTCTGAAGAGACTACCAGACATGGTCAACCGGATCGTTTTGGTCTGGGGTTTGGTGGGCTTTCAGAAACCCCCAAGAGATGCCCAAGAGAAGTGTTCGGTGGCATGTTGGAGCTGAAGAAGGTGAAACCATATTTTTTTAGAACCATCAATGTTTGGATCGTTTGACAGGTTGAACGTTTCCTTCCTTTCACAGCCTGAGTTCAGGCTACCTGATCAGACCTGATTTTCGTCCGAGTGTGTTCATGTGTTCCTATACAAAACATGATATCAGTTTCTAACTTAGCCGGAGTGTAAATTTCACGGGTCCCAAGAAGGACAGCATGCCACAAGATTCCAAGCATGTTGACTGAATTTCAGTTCCATCAAACAGTGGGGACTATGGATGGGCAGGCTATAACCTTCCAGAGTTGACAAACCAGTGAGATTGCCACAGATGACTTGAATGTGAAATCAATGATTCATTTAAAGTCAAATGTTTGTGACAATGACTTGAAGCTGACGATTGGACTCTTGGACGAAGAGATCTGCTACATTTGGGAACTCACACCAGGTTGAGGAAATTCGAAGTCTACTGCATCGCGTTCGAAGAGAATTTCCTTTGTGGGGGTTGATGGCCCAAGGCAAAGGTTGATCATCAATGTCTACCTCCTTCAAACACACATATATATATATATGATTTTAAAATATACTATATATTTTACTCTCTTCTACTAATATATAGTATATGATGCTGAAAGCTGTCAAACAAACTATCGTTGTTCTAAAGAGGTAACCAGGCAGCAATATTATGTCGACGTGATACGTTTTACACACATTTGGACAGGCTTCATACATCTAGATGCGTGACTCCTCTCTTTACAAACATAGAAACTAGCGGAACACATGTGGAAGAGGACTCAAGTGAAAACACAACACATTCCCATGTGTTCAACTTTCAACACATTCCATAATCAAAAAACTACACCAAAACAACCGATTTCGGTCCCATTTGTTTGTCGCCATCCATGGGCTGATCAACCCCCCCCCCGTCGTTGGATCCGAGGGGGAAGGCGGGGAGCTGTAACTCGCGTCCGTTTTGTGGTTTCAATCTTTGAGACTGAAAACAGTGCTTGCTTTTGGCATTAAGAGCATATCAACACATCATGGGCTGAAATTGGTTGAACCAGCATTATCCGTTAGCATCATTCGTTGGAGTATAATTGTTTGAGCCAGCGATTCTGTGATCGTCGTTCTGCGTCGAACGTGCTCCACCTGCTCCGTCCCGCATCACGGATCCATCGGGCGTGCAGCTGCCGTCATCCGGTGGGGCGGTCGGAGATGCTCCAGGCCAGATCTCAATCGGTCTCAGACTGGCAGGTCAATGAATGAACTCGTGGTTAGTTGGTTTAGTTGGTGGTTAGTTGGTGCTCCTTTTTTTCACGAACTGGTTTAGTTGGGGGATTTCGTTGGTTTGGAGGGTGGCCCAGAACTTCAAGCCACCTGAATTTCGGGTGAATAGGTCCAGAACATTTCAATCAATGCACGATGGTCGTACTGTACCATAAAATAGTGTGAACACTGCTTGGGAGCTAAGACCAAAAGACCAAAGTTTGTTAGGTTGTGACCGGTTGTGCCTTTGCGGATTGGCTAAGTTTTGTAGCCACAACCTCCACGTCCTCGTGTCTGAAAGATCGCCATCAGCATGTGTTGTCTTCGCGTGGTCTTCTGTTTCACTCCCAAAAAGGCTTCAAAAACGGCGATGCAGTTTTCCAGGCCCCCCCAAAAAGGAAGACTCATCGCAACTGAACTCTTTGCGTTTGCACGAGCCCCCGCCGGCCAAAGCCTGAAGATCTGCGGCGGAACGCCGCAGATCGGGACGCCCAGCCTGCGCAAAAGAGTTGGTTTGCTGGAAGGTGTTGGAGACCTGTGAATCAAGCAATGGGCCATGGACAGCCATGGGGTGGCATAACTGAGGAGTTCATGACTGAGGAACTCGCAGGAAGCACATTGTTGAATCTTGCGTTTGGGCTTGTGGACACGTTCACACATGGGTTTTGCATCCATAATTGGTGAGCCAATATCGAGTGATGTCAAGATTGATCCACTCACTTCACACACACACATGGTTTAGGCCTACCAAGCACTACCAACTGTAGATTTCACCAAGCACAACGAACCTCTCGCTTCCACTCCTTGTTTTTTTTGCCCACGTCGCTTCCTTTAGGCCCTCCATCCAGCAATGAGGCTGCGGCCCATGCGTTCGGGAACTCTGTTGGGTGTTGGCCTCTCGGGGCGCTGCACGGGCTCAGACATGCTCAGACAGACATCCTGAGATTCGATGATCGGGCAATTTTTTGAGGATGTTTGTGGTAGGTCTAACTAACTATAGCAGAGGCAGGGGAGCGCTAATTCTTTGTCCTGGGGATGATCGCTTCCTCATCTTCCGATGTGGCATGCAGTACCGTCATTGACCACTTAGTCTTTGGTGGATGGAGATGGGGTTTCACCGGGGTTACCTGCACCATCAGGGACCATAAGGGACTTGAGACTTCAGCCTGCTCTGGTTGGATGGAGATGGGTACTGAAGACTCCGGCACTTGGGACTTCAGCATCTTCAGCGCCCCTCGAGGTTTCGCGGGCTACACGGCCGCAAGAGCGACTTTAGTCTCTTGGCGAGCGCCAGCGGGGCCACCTTCTCGGCTGTGCTGGATGGCAACGCACATTACTACAAGGCCGGGGGATCCAGGCTGCGACCGAAACTGAAACTGGTTCCTGAAAACATGGTCTCGCACCCGGAGCACCCTTTTCTAGTCTCACTGTCACTGGTCGATGTTCATTTTAATTGTTTAAATGACCATGGATGACATGGACCAACGTATGAGCATTGAAAGGCTTCCATCCAACGCACCATCCATGTGCGTCGTTCCATAGATTTGAGTCCTGCTTCAGACGAAGCCGCAGAGCTTCGTAGTTGTGATTTGGGGGTGTCTATGATCGATTTGTTGTCCGTTGTTGTTTTCTCCTCTGTAGGAGAGGATCTAGAGTCTCAAATGTTGATCCGGGAGAGTGATCGTGAAGGGTTGTCCCAGACGCTCCCTGGCACAGGCAAAAACAAAACTACATTGCTGTTGAAGCAATGTAGGATGTACTGTATATAGGATGTACCTATACATGTCTTGGTCAATGGATGTACCCAGACATGAAGTCATCCACCATGGCCTCGTCATCTACCTCGTCATCTACCTCCCGGACCGGGTCCACGGAGCATGTGATTGCGGACGGAGCACCACAGTCGTAGGACATGACAGATTGGCATGGTCATAGGATTGTGTGCTCTCATGACTTGGCTTTTGATGCATGAAGCCTGCTGTGGCACATGCAGAAAAGAACTCTGCATCCTCGCCGTCGAAAGCGCTCACCTAAAAAGGATACCTATAGAAGTGATTGCAAACGTCCGGCGAAATCGATGCTTGCCAATGCTGCTCAGCACGATGTGATCGTGGTTTGGGTCGTTTCGTAGGAAATGGATGGACATGGAGATGAAGGACGTTGACATGCAATTGAACAGGGTGCTCAGCTTTTTGCTGTGAGCCATCCCCAGCTGATGATCCCACAATTCAGGTGCCGTCTCGGGTTGCCTGCCGAGGAGATGGCAATAGATGGCAATAGTCAGACTCAGACTATGCATTCTGTGTTCAATCAGTTAATCTGCATGAAACCTGTTCAAAGCTGTCAAAGCTGTATGTGTTTGGTTTGTGCATTAGATGGTTGTCGCAATTTCCTGATGCAATCTGGATAGATGCTGATGGAACGAACGCACAAAGCGTTGGCGGTGGATGTCTCGGCACCGGAAAAATGACAACTGGACAACTGTGTGAGGCTGCTTCCAGTCGCAAGAACATGTGCATATATGTCCTGCTTGAATGAGTGCAATTCTGTGTGCAGTGGGCCTGCTTGAACACAGCAGCCTTGCCCGCAGCCATGGCTGGGATGTCGCTTGGGAAGTCGCTTGCGAAATCGCATCTCCTCCCATTTCTCAGCAGGGTTTTTGCTGGCTCTTTGACATGAGATAGGACTGCCGGCGGCTCTCCTGAAGCAGAGGTGTCCGGTGAGTACGGCCGAATGGGGGTATTCACATGATTGTGTGCATCCCTCCCGCCATGTCTGTGCTTGTGCCAGTGGGACGATTGAAGCCAACAGCCAACAGAGTGTTCGGTGTCAGTGCGTGTTTCTGTCTACAGGTGGCCACTTCGGAAGTCTTGCGCAGAAATCATGCACAAATTAACCCCGCCAACTGTGTGAGACTGCCTTCCGCTGTGACTGTCCTTGAGTCCTTGAAGCATTTGCAGCACCGGACCCGAGTGGGGCCATGGAGCACGGTACGGACACAGTCTCCTGGCTCTGCAGACTAGCTTGGAGACCATGGCCCAGGTGCTTCGGATTTGCACAAGACCAGGCCGGCCCGAAGCGAAGAAGCACTGGTGTCCAAACACCAACACGGCCGATCACGGCCATTCTTTGGGTTGCGTGTTTTGTCTTCGGACGCCAAGACTGAATCGTTGGAAAGCAGGACATGTTTGGTGCCAGTGTGGCTTGAACCGACACTGTCTCAATTAGACCAATAATTAGATCGAGGTCTAATGGAGTGCTCATGCAATACTGAGCCCCTGCCCTCAGAAACCCACATTCCACAAGTACTCTTTTGTTACTTTTGTTGTTCCCAGTTAGGTTCTGAACTCCATAGCAAGCGAGCTTTTGTTCCAATAGTTGCAGGCCTGTGTGGAACGTTTATTCAGCCTCAATGTGGATTATCCATAAAGTATATAATGCACCTGTTGGCTGCCTAAGTAAAGTAGTCTTCATGCAGTGTTTTTACTATATAGTTTAAGTAGATGTACGTCTATGAAGTGATCGCCCGCAAGAAATTGCAAACATATGCTTGAAACAGAGGTCGGATAACAAAGCGCAGTCGTGTTTGCATTGTTTGCCGTCCATGTCAGACGAATACATAATGAGCACATAGGATTAAGAACCCTCCTCTTCTTAATCAAGCCCATCTCGAGCCCCCAATACTAAACTAATCCAAAGTTCCCACATTGACCTCCCTCATCCTCCCTGCAATCAAAATCGTCCTTGCCAAAAACCTCCCCCTATCAATCAAGCCCATTTGGCCCCAGAAAACGTATAACTAGTTCATTAGAATGGTATATTGTTTAAAGTTTAAAGCTGCAATCTAAGCTGCCATGGTGTAACTACTTCTCTTTTTAAAGATATATGCTAAGCTCTCATGTTTTTTTTGGTTCAAACTCTCATGGTTCCCAAAGAATCCGATCAACCAGCATCCATCATCAGGTCAACACCTGAAGTTGGGGGATGTGGTCTCTACCTCCAATCTCAAACCTTGTCGAACTTGAAGGGGAACCGGGGGTTGATTGATCCTACGTGCGCATCATATATAAGAGCATTCCAATGGATCCCATCTACACTCTGCGGAAGTCGCACCTGAGCTCTCCATGCATCCCATTTCTCTTTGACTGCCAATGACATGGCAACCCTTGCTTGCTCAGTGATGGAAACGTCACCGAAAACCTTCAAATCACGCCCAGGGCCCAGTCCTTTTTCACCGTTGTTCCCCGTTTTTCCTACCCAGTCAGTGGACAACCTTTAACATTCTTTAACATGTCATTTTGTTCAGAATCGGTTCCCGCACTGGGACCGTTCTCAGCATTAACAGGACAGTTTCAGGGAAACGGGACCGGACACTGTCCGGGAGACGGACAGACGTTCCTCCGTTCATTCCGTTCCACTTCACCTCGGGACGCTCGAGGCCTTGGCCTCGGAGTTGGAGAACTTCTCCACCTATGAGGCGAGACACGCCTCGCCTCGACGCCCGTGATGACCGGTGTGATGTGTCGCCGTCCTCGGTGGTGACCGGTCCACTTTTGTCCGCTTTGCGCCGCAGACACAGGAGACATGAGGAGACCTTGCTGGAAAAGTTGTTGTTTAAATAATATAATCTAATATACCTTTTTAGATGTTATATATAGATCGAACCAAGAATGTTGATGAAAATCACTACCAGACTGTTTGCTGGACCACTGGAGTGGAGAGTCCCAGCAAAGTCCGTTCATTGAGAGCCAGTGGGATCCTACTGTGACAGTTCGATCCTCCAACTGGAGAGTCCCGTCCAAATCCTCCACAGTTGAGGGATTGCACTTGTAGATGCTGTTCCAAATAGTTCCAAGATGAAGTTCTTCCAAGGTCAAGGCTTCTACCAGCGTTCTTTGCTGAATCTTCCTGGTCCATTTCAACCAACCGCAGAGAAAAAAAACAACACAAACATGTATAGATATAGAATGAGATAGATGATAGATGTAGTAAGATCAAACAACTCAGGTTGGTTTTTGTTGGTCAACCCTCCAGCCTCCAGTCTCAGTGCACCAAGTTCCCATCCGCCACACCTTCCGAGACCGAGGCGTTGGTGAGCGAGCTCGAGTACAGGCGCGACGACCCGGCAAAACGGACCGGTCGAACCGATCTGGCCGACTCCGGATTGGTAGAACGCCCCCCACCCATAGGAAGAGGTTCTCCAATCCAGTTGGGGCGGGTGAAATAGAAGCAAGAGTCTAGGTTGTATAGTGTTGCGGGGGTTGAAAGACTGGCAGGAAGAGTCCCAAAAACTGGCAGAGCCAGACATTTGCTCCAGCCTTCGCGGTTTTGGACATCGCTTTTAAACATGTTGGAAGGATGAGACTCATAAATTGTGGGTCAAAAGTTGGAAAGCTGTCCAGGAAGGTTTTTCTCTATATAGCTGCTTAGATTGGTATAGAAGTATATTATATATATATGCATGTCATGGACACTGCAGGCAGACACACTCAAAACAATCCAAAGCATCTTGAGGCAGAACAACGAGTTCAGATCAGCAGTGACATGCTACTTCAATGATGACCACCTCCAATTGTACGTTCAATCAGGAAATCAGCTCTTTTCCCTTTTATTGGAGCAGGGCTTTCAGAGAAGTGCATGTGTTTTTGATTCCAATTTCTTGTGGACTTCTTCGGAACTGCATTGCACCGGGGTGTTGTGCGCAGGCCCGCGTGGATGAGCGGAGGCTTGGCATTGCACCGGTCACTCGGCGTGACGTCGGGGCGACCGCGACGGCGGGCCCGGCGGGCGTGGCGGGGCGAAAGCGGTTCCAATTGGAAGGAACTTGGCATGTTCAGATGTGTTAGGCAAACACAGAAGAAGAAGTAGAATAAGTAGTGAATTGCAAAACAACAACAACAACAACCACAACAACAACCACAACCACAACAGCAACGGCAAAAGATGCAACGGACGATGAAGGTGGTTGGAGTCTTTGGAGGACTCCTCCTATTGGGTGTTTGACTGCACATGATGGCACTGAGGCCGGCAGCCTTGGGGTCCGAAAGTCAGCCAGGAGCCCAGCCCTGCCTCCGGGATTCCAGGACCGCACGGAAAGGTCACCGGTCACCGACCGTAGGCTGCTTGGTGGTTTCAATGATGTTTTTGGATGTTTTGGGGTTCACCCCTGTACCTGAGATGTCGATTCAAAAAAACTCCACATGACGCAAATGGTAGAAAGCTAAGCACTAATAGCCACTATATGCCACTATGTACATCCGACATCATCCGACTAACCTTCCATTGTGTCCCGTAGTGTCAGTCTGTCAGTCCAGACGTCCTACGTTTGGGAGCACTGTCGAATAGGTCTCCTCCATCAGGGTTCTTGAACGATCTGCTCAACCGGCAGTATCTACATCCTGACTTGCTTATGATGCTTTCACTGGTGGCCTATGTGGAGAACTCACCCATTCTTCCCCCCCAAATGGGCCTCATGTAAACCTCGATCCTGTCGATGGGCCTGCGATGTGTCCAAACCACGACTCATGGGTCGATATTCGATGGGCCTGGTGTGAGGACCTCGATGGTCGAAGTATGTCGAAGTGCCGCCCTCCACAAAATGGATCCACATCTAGTTTCTCAGAAGGTGCTTGGCCCAAGAATGCCCAATAGATGAGCCGACATGTATCCACCACCACCTGAAGGTGTGTAGGATCCCTAGAAGGAATGGTTTAGAACCTCAGGTGCCTGAGCATAGCCCGGTTTTTGAGTGCTCAACCTCGGGTGCTGCTTGGATTCTTGAAACTCTTGAGCAAAAGCAGCCCGCCAGCATGAGCCTGATGGACATTGACTCAGCATGCCTTTTGCCTTTTGCCACATCATCGTTGGAATGGGTTCCCTGAGTATGCTGCTTAGCACTTAGAATCATTCCGGACCTTGAGGGTTTCGTATTGATAGGGTTTTTTCATATACTGAATATATGGATGAGTATGGATGAGTCACAAAGGGATGTTTATATATATATATATATATATTGAGATGTTTTTAGGTGTTCTTAAGTCTTTAAGTGAGTGGAACATGGGCACCCCTATCCTCTAATAGGCACCCCTTTGACCAATCCGAACGGTGTCCCAGGCTACAGAAGTCTCCCACCTATGAACGTGTCTCGGCGGCGAGTGTTTTTTCTTGAGAGCGGCCCAGGTCAGGTAGAACATAGCGCAGAGTAGGCAATCCATATGTTGTTGTTTGTTTTTTTTTCTGGGTGATGGTTTCAGATATTGCTTGCGTTCAATCTTTACTTGAATGAGTGATGTTGACATCTACTGACCAATATCTTTCAAGTGAGTTGACACCACCAACCAGTTTGGTGTTCCATAAACAGTTCGGTGTTGCTCTCATTCCAATTCTACAAGAAGAGCTCCCCAGTTCGATCGCAGGCTCCAGGCGTTTCTTTCCCTCCCGGCTCCGGTGTGCTCCATCCTCGTGACCCGAGAGTCACATGAGACATGACCTGCTCCCAGACACGACTAATGGGACTGCCATATATGCCTACATTGACCCCGTTTCAACCACCCCTGGCCTGATCGGCAAATATGGCAGTCCCATGGAGCGTTTGGGGCTGTTTCCATCTCGTTCGTCACAGTTTGCGCAGTCTGCTTCTTTTGCAGCGAAGCACCGACAAGTTCTTTGGGGAGGAGTTTTGTCCTCTTTATCTTGGCCATGTCCAGGTCACCAAACGACACGTCCTGCAGGTGCGGTTATGGTGGTGTCCCCCAATGGAAGTGCTAGGAGAACACCTCAAACACCCAAAACTGCCCGGAGCACCTGCCGTTGCCTATTAAACCGAACAGGTGGCACATGCTTTAAGCTTGGTCTTCCCCAAAACTGAGAAGTCAATCAATTGAAGCCTTGATCTTGCAGTCTGGAATAATATCAGATCTTTTTTCCATAATCAATCGCTGTCACTGTAGGAGTTCCCTGGTATTCCTGCATTGAAACAAAAGTCATGTAGCGCAGGCAGAGGAGCTTAAATGATAGACACCTGTCATGCATGCACCATCAGTTCATGCCCCCTGCTGCATCGCTATGGTTCCACCGCATCATTCAGAAGGTATAGTCCCCAATAGTCCCTCCAAACCCACCCATTCAAATCCAAAACCACATCCACTTTCAAGACCCAACGACGCGTTGTTTTTTTTTCCACAAGCTAAGCACGTAGAAGTGCGAATCCAGGCATCGTGCGTTTCTTGGCCGGCTTCTTCGGCGTGGAACCCATCAGGCGAGGCGAGGGATCACAGCAACCGTCCAAGAGGAGTTATGGGGCGAAAGGGAAAGGGAAGCTAGCTATGTTGGATGTGGGAGGGCAGGTGAGTATGGGTGAGTCCTCTAAGTGTCTAAAGATAAAGAGAAGTGGCTTTGCAGGCCCTTCTCGTGGTTAACCTGGATGGACCCACTCTGGTTGTTCGAATCGTTAAGATTTGGTGTTTAACCCTCAAGACTAAAGGCCACAACAATGTTCCCTTTACCTGCAAGACGTGTTTTGTCACGCCAAGACATGCAAAAGACTTGATTTGTGATTGAGTTACTGTAGGGTTCGCAACAACGGAGCCCGCGCGAGTCCGCGCGCTGGTGAGGTCTTTGGTGAACCACTACCGATCGGCCGAGGACGTGGGCTGTGATGATTCCAACGTGTTTGTTTTGAACTACACTCCCTGGAACTCACATGGACAATGGCCTCTTGGAAGACGTTCCTCTACAAACAGGGTGTTTTCCACTTCCATGTGAGTTCCAGGGAGAGTAGTTCCTCAAGGCGAGAGTTCAACATTGACGACCTCAGGGGTCGTGCACCCCAACCCACCGGTCATCTCGGGGTCATGCATGCAGTCTGAGGGGATCCCTCAACACCGTTGGTGGGGTTGCTTTGTGTTTAAGCAAAGCACACACTGTGCTAGACATCCTCTTTGAACGATTCCAAAGAGAGCCTGCTTCATAGGCAAAGCATGGCAATGCAGATGAACCAAGAACAGATCATGGGTGAATTGCCTTCCGGGCTATGGGCGCTTCCTCTTGTTGGAAATGAAATCACTAAGCAGAAGTCTCAGCTGTAAAAGAGAAAGCTATCGATTCCTGACTCTGACATCCTGACAAAGGCGCTTGTAAAAGTATCAGCCAGTAGAAGCATAGCTTGACAATATGGTTGTGGCCCATCAAGCAAGAATTGTGACCGTTGATGCTCGCTCTCCTGCTTCTTCAAAGTTACCTGTTGAGGTTTCAGTGAAAGGGATCACCTGAACCCTCCACAGAGGCAAGCAGGGACCATCCCGAAAAAGTAACTTTGAAGAATTTGGCTGTGGGTTTGCTACATGTAGGGAACGAATGAGTGTACATGAACTAAAAATTGTCCTAGCTGAGCAATATCTTCATAGCTAAGCATCCCAGTCGACTTGATTTAAAGGGGCCGCTCCTGGCCTAACCTCGAAGACCCTGACCTCGCTGTAGTTGTCCTTGTATTTTTTACTGTGAGACTTAGGGATGAGCTATCCTGAGCAGGTCAGTCGACTGCTTGCGGGACACATTTGGGACAACACCTGTGGTAGGTGTTGGCACATGTTCAAGCACAGATCATTGATGAACATGGTTATTTTTTCCGAATGTGGAATGCTCCCAGCTCCAGTCCAAGCTCCAACTGCTTCCAAAACCCGTTTGCTTCACTGTTGCTTTTCCCAGGACTTCACCGCCTTCCACTCGGACCAGTACTTCTCTGGAGTGAACATGACCATCGGCGCGTCCTTTGGAGAGGCTGTGAGCCCGTTTCAGAGGTAACAGAAATTCTCGTGGGATCTGGGGGGCCGAATTGGCCCCAGATCTGGGTGATTTGCCTCTTTAGGAAGCTATCCATTTTTGCGGGGTGTCATCCACCCAGCATATGTTGGTGTTTAAGATTCCATTGGTTTTTGTGTGAGCATTGTTAGATGTAGAGTGAACGGTTCTTTTCATAAACTTGTTTTTTTGCTGTGCTTTTGACATTGAACTTATACCTCTACTTTTGCAGCAGTTTTCAATATGGTAAGAAGGCCGCGCTCCGGCCGATCGTGTCGAGGAACGATCCTTGGTCTTTGAGCATCGAGAGACCAAAGAGCAGCCGGGCGCTGAGTGAGAAGAAAGTGGAGTCACGGAGACTCCTGGGTCTTTTCATCGAATGTTTCGAGGATGTTTTGATTAACATCCCGGCACATCCCGGCATTAAAGAGTTGTTTCAAAGATTTTGAGGGTAACTCAGGCATTCAGTGAGAACCAATGTTGAAAGGCCCTCAAGTGAAGCAAATCGAAGATGCCTTGAGGCAGGCGTTTGGGTTAGACGTGGTTAGCTGCTCATGAAGGTGGAGCTTGTTGTCGCTGTCTCATTGTCCTTCTGATTTATTGTTATTGTTGCTTTCTTGGAATACAACGACATGTATATGCAGTCATTTGATAGTCATGTGTTAAATCATTGTTGTATATTGTTGTGTTGATGTTACTTTAACAACATTTAACAACTTTTTTTTAGTTTTGTTGTCGTCGTCGCTGTCGTCCAAGCAACAATTTACTTTCTGCATGGGTTTGACTTCAGTGTGTGAGACCGACAACGGGAATCCATGGTCCTGTGGAAGACCCAGACAACGGCAAACAAGAACCTTCAAGAACCTATGGAGTTTTAAGAATCAACTTGCTTCAATCAACTCTCCTGCAAGAGGAGTCACACAAAAGACCACCAAGTGTTCTTTTAATGTTTCAAACAAATTGCTTGCAAAACCTTAAGAGTAATAAGAGAGAGAGAGAGAGGCCCGATTCAACCTAGTTGATGGAGAACTTTTTGAGACATTGCGTCAAAAGGGCGTGGATGGAGTGGTGCCGTTTGATATGGAGGCATGGTCAAACACGACGATGAAGTTCCTGAAGCGTTGACGCCCTTCCTTCAAAATGCCTCAGTTGTAGAAGACAGACCCACTTGTCATTGTAGAGGACAACAAGTGTCCACGATCTTTCCGTAATTGCAGAACAGTTTTGCACTTCCCAAGGGCTTTGGAGCGGCAAAATGGATGGGACACGCAACCGCCGACGTTGAGGTTCAGTTTTCCTCAGCAGAACGGAGACGTTTTTGCCTTTACTGACAGCGTGAACCGTCAGTTCGTCCATGGCATCCCTCGTGAGAGGCAGCCTGGCGTGAGAAGGGAGGGAGTCGAGAGTTTCGGGCGAGGGTGGCGGCTGGGTGGCGGCAGTGGTAGTCACCTAGGTGGTGGTTTGGGATATGCGTTCATGAAACCTTTACCCGGGAAGATTAAGCTCTGTCAAAGAATGTTCAAGTGAGCTGAAGCTGAAACCACCAAGCAGTCAAACATTGTGTTCCTTGCCAGGCCATGACCACGCAAGACCTCCTGAAACCGATGCATCGACACTGCAGCCTTTTAGCCTTGCCGGCCATGCCCTCTTCAGTTCGGCCTTGACTTGGCCGCGAACGCATGCAAAGGCAGAAACCATGGTTGAGGATGGTCGAGGTGTTTAGACGATCAAGTGGTGAGAAGTGTGACTGGAGGGATCAAAGACATTCAAAGACTAGACCATTAAAAGCCTTTTAATGATTTAAGGAAAAAAACAACAAAAAACATTATTAGAGGAAGTGTTGCGGACTGGCTGCTGATCAAGGTTTCGGAGCAGCCTCCCCACCTCAACCATCTCAATGTTCACAGCAGAATCCACTTGTTTTGAGTTTTGAGTCACATCCCATGTTGACTGTCGATGAATCAAAACATCTAAACTCTAAACCAGTTCTAAAAACCACTCATGGATCCCATGGAACCTGGATGCTTGTGAGACCTGAACAAACACGTCAGCCCATTAGCTTCATCTCGGTGCTCGTCGAAGCCTACTCTACCGTACCGATGTAATCTCAAGTACATCTGCCAAAACACTGCTTTTTAGGAAGGATGCTTGTTGTTGATTTCCCAACTATATAATAATCATATTAAGGCCATTTACTATTAGATTGGTTGATTAATAGAGGGGATACCACCAAGTGATCAACCAATAGGTCAATGGCACCAAACCGACCCCTTTGTTCTTCCCAATAAGGACATCAGTGATCTCGTGGACCTCAGAGTGGATCCCTGCGGTGGATCCTCCCCGTCCCCCTCAGGACTCGAGCCAAGTCGGTGGGCGCCTGTCGACACACGCCGGGACGCCACTCGGTTGATTGGAAGGACTTGAAGAAGATGGGTGGAACATGTTGGAGGTAAGAGCATTCCTTGTCACAAGGAATCATGTCACGTCGGTTGGATGTTTTATGTTCCGTGGTGGGAGTTGGATCTTTGGTGCCATGGGCTTGGCCGGCTTGGCGAATTTCTCCGTGAGCATTGGGATGAAGGCAGGCCAGGTGCTTCCCCAAGCTCAACCCCGGTCGTTGGGGACCATTGGGGACCAATGTTCTGCTGCTTCAATGAACTCTGAGGCATTCGCCTGTCGCTCACAGTAAATATCCCCTAAAACCAGGCCAGATTAGGCCAGATTGAATCGTTGACCTCCCTGAGTTGTCCATTCTTGGTCAATGCGCATGGCGGGATCGACCAAGTGCGCTGTCACTTCCACACCCATCCCACTCGAACCTTCGGATACCTTCGGCCCCGAGGCATCTCTGTCATCGTTTGGGGACGCCGCGACCAGGCGCGGCGTCTTCCGAAGAGGTCTGACAGCAGCGAGGAGGGTCCACGGAGCAGGTCTGACAGGGTGGCAGTGACCTGAAAAATGGGCACCTGGCAACAAACAAAAGAAAACCTCCCAGGTGGGGAAGGTGGAACTTCGTGACAGACGGTTTTTCGTCACCGGATGGGCATGGGATGTTCTAAAGAGTGACATGTAGGCCCTGGGCCCTTTGGCATGGCCGACGAAGAGAAACGGATTGACCGTCTGATTACTGCAGAGGGTTGGGTGTTTGATGAGGTGCTAGCAAAAGACTTGCGAGACTTGGCAAATCGACCAGCCGGCTCGGGATTCACATGTTCACATCCAACTTGGTTGGTCTTTGGGTTGTTTTCTCAACCAAACCTTGATATGGATCATTGAGCACGCAAGCCCCTTGAATCAGTCTCATAATTTAAAGTCTCTTGGAGACCATGATGAACCTTTTTGACTTTGGATGGCAGGCTTTCAGGGGTTCTTTCTATTTAGTGCCTCCCTATAGGCCCTACAGTACGTACCTGCAAGACCCAAAACCCAGGTTCTGTTCTTCTGGAGGTCAGAGATCATCAATCAGTCGTACACATGTTCCCAGTGAATCATGGGAGGAGATTCTAACTCGAAATCAGCAGTCCAAGTGCCAGTTTTCCTTCTCATCGGTCCCGTGGTGCCCCGGTCCTCGGATGTTCTGAGGAGATCTGGAAGCAAAGATCTTCGGTCCTTCCGATCACCTTGTTGCCCTGCAACGTCTTGGAGTGCCTCCGTGCCGGAAGGAAGGAAGGAACAACAGCCGAGTTTGGAAGTCGCATCCGATGTCAAACATGGTTGATCATCGTGTTTGGGTTTTGTTCTGTTTGTTGTGTTTCTGTTTTCAGTGGGTTTTGTTTGTTTTGTTTTCAGAAAGATGAGATGGGTGGTGAAGCCACACGGTCACCGAAATCAGGTCTTACAGTCTTACCTCATAGTAATAGTATAGGCGGATATAGGCGGTATAGGGGTCTTTGCGTATGCTACAACGTCCTCGACAACCGAGAACTCCGCGGGATACAAGGGTGTGGAAAAGGCACACATGGTTGGGTGCATAGCGCACATCTTTAATTCCCTCCACCTATTAAAAAGCACGGGGGCCCCCTGCCCCCCCAAATCAAAAAAACTCGGGTTCACTGAAATCGGGGTTGTCCAAAATAGGGTCAGTGGGAGGATCCTTTGAATAATCATTGATTACATATGAAATGCAGATTTCCTGGCAGGCCCAGCGCTTTGTGAAGCTTGAAGTGCAGATTTCGTGCAGACACCTGGGAAGAGCTTCAAAACCAAACGGTATCCCAGGAACATATCATAAAATCCTCTATTAATCGTATCAAAATTGACAACCTCCAGATCGAAGGGTCTTCCTTTTCCCTTGACAAAAACCTTTTAGTGATTCTTCATTAGACTAACAACTAAAGCTTTCGAAAGGTGATGTTGCTGTGCCATGCCGTTTTGCGTGGCCTCGGTGGCAAGTGCGTTTGCGTGAGTCCGTGCCATTGGGGGAAGGAAAGCCTGCTGGTGTAAACGCGACGTGTCATGGTGGGTGGGCAGTTAGGGTTGCTTTTGGAACCTAATTGAAAACACCTCCAAAATCGACAATGTTGGTAGTTTAGTAGCGGCTTGAAAGGGCGGTAATGTAAAATCAAGTATAAACTGTATATAGGGCTTCGGACATTGTGTTTTTAAACCAAGAATACCAAGAGCGACGTGTTGTCGCCCAAATCATTGGGCGGTGAGGAGTACCAGGTCAAACAGCTCTCCCCAGCCTGTTTCAGGGATCGATGAGAACAGAACCCGGTGAGATTCAAGATCAAGAGAGGCCCTGAGTTGAGTTGCTTCGTTTTTGTTTGTGCCGTGCTTCGGATGCTTGACATGAAGGGTCGGTTGCTCAGGTGTTTTGCGCCTAGTAAAGATGTTTTTGCTTCGTTCCATCGGGAGGTATGATCCCACCGCGGGATCAGGAGAGGAAGCAGAAGCAAAGAGGAGACCATGGGGTTGTGGGTCCCAACTGTGCAGCAACACAAGTTCTTATGCAACAGGGTGTGCGTTTATTGGTGTTAGAGATGGTTAGAGGCCAGGAGGGGGGGTGGAGGCTCCTATTCTCCAATCCGTCTCAACCAAGACACGTGGGTTTTGTAGCTCAAGGCATGGGAGACCTCTCAGGCCACGACCACCTGGGTTCGGTTCGGAAAACAGACCAACCCCTATTCATTGGGCCAGGGGATGTTTTGGGATTTGGGTGATTTGGGGGTCTCCCCATGAAAAGTGCAAACTTGGCATATTTTCTTGCATACCCCGGTGCTAGTTTGAGTTTGTGGTTCCCTTTTTGCATCTTTTTAGTGCCAGGAGCTCCGCGGAGGTGGCGTTCGCCAAGTCAGCCCCGGAGAGGAGGGGCCGTGAGGAGGGATGGGCCAAGCCCTGGACCACAGAAGAATAAGACAAACATGGTTTGTTCAAAAAACAAGATCATGGCATATCCTCACTTTGATGGGCTCACCAAAGGGCACATATGGAATTCCTTCTCGCCACTAAGCCTCTTCTGGGCCACAAACCGTCCAGCCATTGCTTCACTTGGCAAGGACTACGCTTTCGCGCTTCAGGCAGGTGCGAGCAAGGATCACAGAGCTTGCAGAATATGCTGTTGGGGAAGTTGAGAAGGGGTAAGAATCATTGAATATAGATTCCTTCTGCATGTGGGTTGACTGTAGGGGATCGTTGAGTTGAGGTCCAATATTGCAAGTTGCTGGCACCAACTTAGCCAGCCCTGCTGTTTGCCTGGCTCTACATATACATCGGACATGCTGCAAGAGGTTGGCCTTTAAGATTGTAAGTTATAAGATCAGGTTCAAAATTTGCTTGCCCTCGTACTTGATGTTTTGTTGACACTTGTTATGTTGGAACCCACAATTTGCTTTGACTAGCTTAGGATGTTACAAGCTGTACACATTGCGTTTGTCAATGGTCTCCTTTGGGGCTTGATCCCCAAGATGGGACGGCAACTACTCCAAGACCCAGTAGTTGGCCGGAGACTCTGTCCCTTCTCAGATCAGTAGCAGATTCACTCCAAGCCCCAAGACTCATAGCGTGCAGGCGCGGTGGATACTGAGACGGCCAGGCTCAGGCTATTGATTCTACATGAATGTTGGTTTTGGGTAAAGTGTCGGATCCTCTTTTGTTCCACTACTGTGCGCCCTCTGAACATTTGGAGCTTTACCCGGCAACAGACAAGTGCTTCAATCCTCAGCTTCAAGGTCGTCTGCGACACGTGCGACACGTCCAACGAAACTGGCTTGGACAAGTCCTGGAAGAGGGACTGGGCTTTTTTGCCCGCCAAGCGGAGGATGTGGAGAGTTTTCGAAACCGAGCAATCCCTCCAACGTCGGCTTGGCACCCCGTGTGGGTGGCCGACCGTCGAGATGGGCTGTACAGGACTGGGGATCCGACACGCCGGACGAATTGGTCTTCTTGCTACGTTCGCTACTAGGAACAAGTGCCACGCTACTAGGAACAGGTGCCAAGGAGCAAGAATGCTCCGTTCGTAGCGATGCCAGGAGCCACTACTAGCGTCCGAACGCTCCGTTCGCAATACGACCAGGAGCCCCGTGCGT